CCCCCCACCTTCCGCACCCAAGCCCCCCACCCTGTCACCCCGCCCCCGCCCGCAGGTTGTGATGGCGACGAACCGCATCGACATACTCGACTCGGCGCTGCTCCGGCCCGGCCGCATCGACCGCAAGATCGAGTTCCCCAACCCGAACGAGGACGCGCGGCTCGACATCCTGCGCATCCACTCGCGCCGTATGAACCTCACCCGCGGTATCGACCTGCGCAAGATCGCCGCGCAGATGAACGACGCCTCCGGCGCGGAGACCAAGTCGGTCTGCACCGAGGCGGGCATGTTTGCGCTGCGCGAGCGGCGCGTGCACGTGACGCAGGACGACTTTGAGATGGCGGTGGCCAAGGTGATGAAGAAGGACAACGAGAAGAACATGTCGCTCAAGAAGCTCTGGAAGTGACACCCATGTAGTACTCGTGTAAACATAAATGCAGCGTTGTTCAGCGCTCTCTCATTCCTGTAAAAATCGGTGGTGCGGGGAGGCAGTCACATCTCGCTCATCACGCTTCGCGGGAGACCAACAGTGCTCGATCTTTACCGGTATGGGAGTTTTTGGCTAATCAAACCCAAGGCCTGCACTAATCAAAAAGTGGTACGGGAATCGGGATACCAGTTGCCTCACGGAAATCAAAGCGAGTCGGAGTGCCTTCTTGGTGGCAAAATCGGCAAAATCGGCAAAATACCGGGATTCCGGGTATTTTGCGGGTATACCTGGAAAAACCCGGGTATACCCGCGGGTAATACCCGCACTTTTGCATGGTTTCGCCCCCGGGACAACACCGACAGCCGCGCTACAACTAATGAAAACCCCGCATACCACTTTCTCGCGTACCACTATACCATACCACTCCAAAACTAATCAAAATATCGCCAAATACCGGTCTCATACCGGTAAAGATCGAGCACTGGCAGGGACCAATCCCGGGCAATCCGCGTATGTACGTGTCATCTCGCAATTTCGAACCCCTATAACAATGCCTCTAAAGACCCAGCCCAGTACGTCCCAGTATATGTGTGGCGATCGATTCACGGGTTTCCACGCGGATACGCAGTACTGGTACTCACCGTGACCAAATGAAAGTGTTTGCGCGGATGAGCGCTCGCCCTCTTCATCTCTTCCGGCGCTCTGTGCGGCGGCTCCTGTGTGCGTGGGCCTGAGTCGGCGCCGCCGCAAGGCATCGCCCATCGGCCGCAGGCCCCGTTGCCGGTCCCATTGGCGCCACTTTCAGTGCGACGAGCTGCCGCTGCCGAGGAGCGACTCGTGGGCGTCCACGATGTACACGCCGCCCCAGAAGAGGACGTAGGCGCGCTTGTCGTCCACGGTGATGCACCGCGGCACAGCAGGCCCGTTGCGGACGCTCACGGAGATGGTCTGCCAGAGGACTCCCTCGGATGAGAGCACGTGGATGGACGATCCATTGGCCAGAAAGAGCCGGTCGCGACGGGCCGTCACCACCCCTCCCTTGATCGGGCCAAGAGCTGTGCCCTTGCCGCCGAGCGGGCGAGGCGTGCCAAAGGAGTCGCCAGCGCACAGGGGGACGATGAGCAGCTTGTTTTGCTGCTTCCCGCTGATCACGGCAATGTTGTCGCCGATGACGGCCAGCGATGTTGGAAATGGAATCTTCGACTTGCCACCGCAGTCCTCGCCGCGCGTGGAGCTCAGCCAGAGCAGCTCTGCCGACGAGGAGGAAGTCTGGAGCGCCGCCACCCGATTGTTGGCTGAGTCGCTGACGAAAAGTCGCTCCCGCCTTGCGCAATGTGCGAGTCCGGTTTGGGCATCGAGCCGAAGCTGACCGTCGCCTGCGCCCCGCCCGCCAAAGCGGCAAACGAGGCGCTTGTCTGCGAGGCACATAGTCCCGATCTGGCTGGCAGACGAGCGGGGCCGACAGTGTTCTGTCGCAAGAGCGCATCACAGCGATTCCGCCGGATTCGAGGATGATCTTGAGGAGGTCTGGATCATCGAGCACTGCCGTCGCAGACACCGACTGGGCCAGCTTTGCGCGCTGCTTGCGAGGAGCCATGATGATGGGGATGCCAGTGGCCAGCGGAATTCTTTTGTGGCGCCCGCGAAATTCTTTTGCCCCCTGAGTGGAGTGCCAGTTATGCGCGGCGGGCGGTTAGAGACGTTACGGGAGGCTTCGGAGGTTGGAGCGGAGCGAGCGTGTCTCATTGCGTCAGGCCCACGACCACACCCACCGGAGCATGGCGGTGGCGCAGGGCCGGCACACCATGCCGAATCCCTAGGGAGCACGGCCGCGCAGAGCGCGGCCGCGAGGAGGCCTGCCCATATGTGATGAAAACTCTCTACCGCCGTCGAGGGCACGCCCTTTGCGGTCCACGCGCGGCTGACGACCAACCGGCGCGGTCGGAGCAAGGTCATGACTGATGAGTGCTTGCGAGAGAGAGATTTTTAGCAATGCTTGCGATGGATGAAGGATCTCCGACACCCAAAACCAAAATGCAAATGCGGAGTGGAGCCCACACTTCGCGTGCAGATCCTGCGTCTCTCACTGCCCGAACAACAGAGGCGGGTACCGCCGCAGGTCCCACACTAGTACATTGAAAAAGTGTGAAAGACCGTTTCGGTCCAGCCAAATCGCAGTCACTGGACCTCGCAGCATGGCTGACGTCTCCGACGCAGGCCCTGCCAAGCGGCCCCGCTCCGCGTCGCCCAACCACGAAAAGGGCGAGGACACTACCGAGTTCTTGCCCGACCGCGGGCTACTCCTGCGGCACGGAACCTCCCTTTCGCTGATGGCGCTGGTCGCCGACTGGCTCAACGCGAGCGAGGAGTTTGAGCAGGTCGATCCCTCTGCGGACTGGGAGAAGTGGGCATCGCGCGGGCAGGACCTCTCGCTGTATTATGCCGCCCTCATTGACCCGGCTGAAGACGGTCTGTTCCCGCGAGCAGCGCCACGTTGGGCCTTCACGCCGACCATCCACCCGAGTAGCTTCGTCTGTGACTAGGAAGAGGGGCTGTTCGCGCATGCCTGCGAGCGGTCCTCGACGGCGTGCCGGTCCCGGCGCCGCCGCACAACGCCCGGCTGATCATCGACTACGTCGCCACTGCGCTGGAGGCGCGCGGAATGGGTCTGGCTTCGCTGCTGGTCTCCTTTGTCACGCGCGCCGCTGCCTCGCTCTCGCCGCCCGCCAACCTGTATGTGGTTGCGACCGAAGACTCGTGCGTGTACTGGATGGGGCGAGGCTACGTGCTCGAGGTGTCGGAGCGGCTCAACGCGCGGCTCAACGTCTTCAACGACACTCACCTGCTGCGGCAAGCCGGCGACCCGGAGGACGCGGGCGACGAGGCGGACCTGCCGAGGCGGCGCGACCAGCCGTGGGCGCAGCTCTCTGCGGCGGAGCGGCGGCATGCGTCGCGGCTCGGCTTCACGCCCGAGTCGTGGGATGCGGATGAGTGGGGCGGGGTGCCGCTGACATGGGCAGAGTCGCAGCGCGACGCGGCGGCGAGGGAGGCCGCGGAGGCGCTCCAGTTCGACGAGGCGTCGTGGCACGGCGGCGGAGGCGGCGGGGGAGGGGCGGATGCGCAGGACGACGACGAGCTGCAGGCTGCGATTGCCCTCTCCCTCGGACAGTGGGGCGGCGGGTCGTGACCGCATCTCCGTGTCTGACCGTCACCAATTCCAATGTGCAATGACACCAATCACCATCTCTCATCACGTGTGTTGTGACTTGTGTGTGTGTGACAGCTGATATGCTCTTTATTTTGTTAAATTGTTCGTTTTTTTGCTCGATGTCGTGCTATTTTGGTTTTTTGATCGTCGCGTGGGCAGGGGGCCCGGCGGCGGCGCGTACCGTTTAATACGTATACCGTATACGGCGTACGACCTGTCTTATTTTGACAACTGAAGTAAGACCTCCTCCTCAAGCTCTCTCTCTCGCTCTCTCCGTCTCAGGCTAGACAATAGCGTAAACTCTTACACGCGACAGGGACAGCAAAAAGACAAGCGAACCCTGTAGTATGGATGCGGCGAAGGTTCGATTCCGCGCACGGGGGGGGGGAGCTCTACCGTAGCTCTCGAGCTGCCTCCCCCACCTACCCACCTCTGGCCATGCCCGAGGCGACCGCCCCCCTCAGACCATCATGCGCGGGGCGATCTGCATCGCCATCAGCTCCTGGAAGAGGAGCTTGCACGCGTACGGCATGAAGACCTGCGAGATGCGCGTCTTGTTGCGGCAGCCGCGGCACTCGAAGGTCCCCTTGTTGAGGTTGGCGATGGCGACCATGCCGCAGATGTCGCACACGTGCACGCGGAAGCGGTCCGAGCACTCGAAGAGCCGCTCCTTCATGATGGAGGCGACGCCGTGCGAGATCATGCAGTCGCGCTCCATCTCGCCGAAGCGCAGCCCGCCGTCGCGCGCGCGGCCCTCCATCGGCTGGCGGGTGAGCAGCGTCACCGGCCCGCGCGCGCGCGAGTGGATCTTGTCGTCCACCATGTGCTTGAGCCGCTGGTAGTAGGTCGGGCCCAGGAAGATGGACGACTCGAGCCGCCTGCCGTGAAAGAGGAAAGGTCTAGGAAAGGTCTAGGAAAGGTCTAGCAGGAAGATGGACGACTCGAGCCGCCTGCCGGTGTGGCCGTTGTACATCACCTCGAAGCCGCGCTTCTGGTAGCCGAAGTTCTGCAGCAGCTTGGAGATGTCGTCGACGGTGACCGAGGCGAAGGGCGTCGCGTCGCCCTCGTCGCCGGTGAGAGAAGAGACCTGCGGGAGGGCTTGGGCGTCTCGAGGAGGAGTGTGGTTGAGTCGTCCCCGGGTGAGCGAGGAGGGCCTTGGAGAGGAGGCACTCGACCAAGTGGCCTGCGGGGCGGGGGAGGGGTTTGTGTGGGTGGGGGGTGCGGGATCGGGCTGTGGGTGGGTGGGTGGGTGGGTAGGGGTGGGTGGGGGGCAGAGAGGCCTCCGGGCCGGAGGGGGGAGGGGGGAAGGGGGGCGCGCCGATGGTCATGCGGGAGGGGATCGCGTGCGGGTTGACGATGATGTCGGGCGTGATGCCCTCGCAGTTGAAGGGCATGTCCTCCTGCCGGTAGGTGATGCCTGCGCGCGTGCAGCGAGGACCCGTCGGGACGTGTCGTGGGCGTGTCCTCTCCCCCCGGCGGCGGGGCGGCACCGATCGTCCCCTTTTGGCCGTGGCGCGACGCGAACTTGTCGCCGATCTGAGGCACCCGCACCGAGCGGATCCGCACCTTGACGAACTTTCGCCCCTCCTGGTTGGTCGTGAGCAGCACCTGGACAACGTAGCCAGCCTCCGTGACAATGATGACAATACTGGCGATGGGAGTACGAAGCACTCGCGAGCGGGACCTGGTCGACGTAGCCAGCCTCCGACGACCGGAGCGGCGTCGAGGCGTCTCGCTTCTCGTAGCGCGCCGCGCCGGCGTCCTGCAGCTCCTCGGCGCGCGGCTCGACGGGCGCCGTCTTGCCGATGATGATGTCGTCTCCCGACACGCGCACGCCGGGCGGCACGAGCCCGTCCTCGTCCAGCTTCGAGTAGTCGCACCTGCGGGCGAGGTGCCGACCTGCCTCAGGCTCAGGGCCCCTCCGCACGAGCCCGACCCGAGCAGCCGCATCGGCGCAGCCCCTCGACCGTCTCGCGGGTAATCTCGGGTAATCTCGGGTAATCTCGGGTAATCACCGGCGCAGCCCCTCGACCGTCTCGCGGGTAATCTCGGGTAATCTCGGGTAATCTCGGGTAATCACCGGCGCAGCCCCTCGACCGTCTCGCGGGTAATCTCGGGTAATCTCGGGTAATCTCGGGTAATCACCGGCGCAGCCCCTCGACCGTCTCGCGGGTAATCTCGGGTAATCTCGGGTAATCTCGGGTAATCACCGGCGCAGCCCCTCGACCGTCTCGCGGGTAATCTCGGGTAATCTCGGGTAATCTCGGGTAATCACCGGCGCAGCCCCTCGACCGTCTCGCGGGTAATCTCGGGTAACCTCGGGTAATCTCGGGTAATCACCGGCGCAGCCCCTCGACCGTCTCGCGGGTAATCTCGGGTAATCTCGGGTAATCTCGGGTAATCACCGGCGCAGCCCCTCGACCGTCTCGCGGGTAATCTCGGGTAATCTCGGGTAATCTCGGGTAATCACCGGCGCAGCCCCTCGACCGTCTCGCGGGTAATCTCGGGTAATCTCGGGTAATCTCGGGTAATCACCGGCGCAGCCCCTCGACCGTCTCGCGGGTAATCTCGGGTAATCTCGGGTAATCTCGGGTAATCACCGGCGCAGCCCCTCGACCGTCTCGCGGGTAATCTCGGGTACTCTCGGGTAATCTCGGGTAATCACCGGCGCAGCCCCTCGACCGTCTCGCGGGTAATCTCGGGTAATCTCGGGTAATCTCGGGTAATCACCGGCGCAGCCCCTCGACCGTCTCGCGGGTAATCTCGGGTAATCTCGGGTAATCTCGGGTCATCACCGGCGCAGCCCCTCGACCGTCTCGCGGGTAATCTCGGGTAATCTCGGGTAATCACCGGCGCAGCCCCTCGACCGTCTCGCGGGTAATCTCGGGTAATCTCGGGTAATCACCGGCGCAGCCCCTCGACCGTCTCGCGGGTAATCTCGGGTAATCTCGGGTAATCTCGGGTAATCACCGGCGCAGCCCCTCGACCGTCTCGCGGGTAATCTCGGGTAATCTCGGGTAATCTCGGGTAATCACCGGCGCAGCCCCTCGACCGTCTCGCGGGTAATCTCGGGTAATCTCGGGTAATCACCGGCGCAGCCCCTCGACCGTCTCGCGGGTAATCTCGGGTAATCTCGGGTAATCTCGGGTAATCACCGGCGCAGCCCCTCGACCGTCTCGCGGGTAATCTCGGGTAATCTCGGGTAATCTCGGGTCATCACCGGCGCAGCCCCTCGACCGTCTCGCGGGTAATCTCGGGTAATCTCGGGTAATCACCGGCGCAGCCCCTCGACCGTCTCGCGGGTAATCTCGGGTAATCTCGGGTAATCTCGGGTCATCACCGGCGCAGCCCCTCGACCGTCTCGCGGGTAATCTCGGGTAATCTCGGGTAATCACCGGCGCAGCCCCTCGACCGTCTCGCGGGTAATCTCGGGTAATCTCGGGTAATCTCGGGTAATCACCGGCGCAGCCCCTCGACCGTCTCGCGGGTAATCTCGGGTAATCTCGGGTAATCACCGGCGCAGCCCCTCGACCGTCTCGCGGGTAATCTCGGGTAATCTCGGGTAATCTCGGGTAATCACCGGCGCAGCCCCTCGACCGTCTCGCGCGACGGCCGCTCGAACTTTTCGGAGCGGCCGCTCTCTGGCCCGCCGCGGTCGCCCGAGAAGTAGACCTTGCGCTCCTCGTCGCGGTAGCAGCGGTAAAAGACGGAGCGGAAGAAGCCGCGGTCGATCGAGGACTGCGAGAAGATGACCGAGTCCTCCTGGTTGTAGCCCGAGTAGCACATGATCGCCACCGTCGCGTTGATGCCGGCGGGCAGCTCGCGGAAGTGGAGGTACGACATCGAGCGAGTGATGCCGAGCGGCTTTTGCGGGTAGTAGAGCACGTTGGCCATCGTGTCCATCCGCAGCTGGTAGTTGGTGATGTACACGCCCATGGCCTGCTTGCCCATGGCGGACTGGTACGTGTTGCGCGGCGACTGGTTGTGGTCCGGGAAGGGGATGATCGACGCGCAGATGCCGAGGATCATCGAGGGGTGGATCTCGCAGTGCGTGTAGCGGTACATCCGGTTGTCGGCGCGCAGGTCGGAGAGGTTCATCGCGATCATCACCGTCTCCTCCTCCTCGGTGTCGATGTACTCGATGAGCCCGTTGGCGATGCAGTCGGACCAGTTGAAGCGCGACACCTCCTTGTCGCGCAGCTTGTCGATGTGCTCCTTCTTGAGCAGCAGCGACTGGTCCTCGACGATCAGGATCGGGCGGCAGCACCGGCCCGCGTCCGAGAAGAGGCGCAGCTCGCGCGCCTGCGGGGACACGCTTGCGGGCGCTTCGGCGGAGGGTGTACGGCGGAGGGTGTACGGCCGAGGTGCACGGCCGAGGTGTACGGCGGAGGGCTTGGCGGAGGGCTTGGCGGAGGGCTCGGGGTCGAGGGGAGGGCGCGGCTCTGCGGTCCTGGATGTCGCGCACGATGGACACCTCGGCCGAGATGTCGACGCCGCGCCGCATCGCGCGCAGCGTCTTGACGAGCTGATCGGGCTGGTGGTGGATGCCTATTGGTGGTTGAGACTGCCAGATGACGAGGAGTGACTGGCAACTAGCAGGCTGGTCGGGGCTGGTGGTTAGATGCCGACCCAGGCGCCGTTGACGAAGACCTTTGTGGCGGCGGGGATGGCGTGAATCAATCAATCAATTAATTGATTGAGTAATGAAAGAATGAAGACCTTTGTGGCGGCGGGGCTGGCGTGAGTCAACTAATTAATTGGTTGATTGAGTAATGAAAGAATGAAGACCTTTGTGGCGGCGGGGATGGCGTGAGTCAACGAATTAATTGGTTGATTGAGTAATGAAAGGATGAAGACCTTTGTGGCGGCGGGGATGGCGGAGGGTTGGATCTCCTCGAGGTTCTCGGTCGCCCACTCCTCGAGGAACTCGAGGATGGGCTCGGGCGCGGAGCCGACCGAGATGTAGGCCATCAGAGAGAGGTTCTTGACCTGCGCACGAGGGGCGGGGGGGGTCAGGAGGGGGCACGGGGGGTGCGGAGCGAGAGAGCGGACCACTGTCTCCTCAAGCCTCGCTAGGCCCGCCTCGGCCCCCTCTCGGCTACCTCGCACCAGCCCGACGGCCTGCCCTTCGGGCGTCTCCGCAGGGCAAACCATGCCCCAGTGCGTGTTGTGCAGCTGGCGCGGCTTGGCAAGCTTGCCCTCTCTCCCGATCGGCGTGTTGAGCCGCCGGAGGTGCGAGAGGGTCGAGGCGAAGGTGAGCCGGTTGAGGACCTGCGCTCAGCCGCACACACAAGAGGGTGGTGGCACAGGAGCGGGTCGGAAGCGCGACGGGATCGCGCTCGCTGCACGTACGCCTCGCCGCCCCGCCGGCGGCGCTGCGGCGCCTGCGCGCGCGCTCTCTCCTCTCGGGCTCTCTCTCCTCTCTGGCGCGGGCGAGGCGCCTGCGAGACGCCGGCGCGGATCGAGCCCGGCGCGCTCTTCTGCTGGCCCCAGTTGCCTATCTCAGTGGTGGAGCCGAGGGTGAGAGCTGACCCGTGGGCACGGCCCGCCCTTCTGCTGGCGAGGTGTGTGCCCGTGGCGAGGGCGTACTTGAGTCCGTTGGAGATGGTCTTGTGCTGCACGGCGGCGACGGGCGAGAAGTCCTGGCCCTTGTCGATGCACTTTTGGCCGTACTTTTGCACGTCCTTGGAGAGCTTGCGGAAGAGCTGCCGGAAGAGCTGGCCGAGGAGCGGGCCTGCAGCAGCAGGTGCGCACGTGTGGCCGAGGGGCGGCCGAGGGGCGAAGCGCAGGCTGGGCGGCGGCGGCCGGCGAGGTCGAGCCGCTTCTGTGCGAAGTGGTCGCGGTCGTCCGGCCTGCGTGTTCATTAGTGTTCATTAGTGTTCATTAGTGTTCATAAGTGTTAATTAGTGTTCATTAGTGTTAATTAGTGGTCGCGGTCGTCCGGCCTGTGTGTTAATTAGTGTTAATTAGTGTTAATTAGTGTTCATAAGTGTTAATTAGCGGTCGCGGTCGTCCGGCCTGCGTGTTCATTAGTGTTCATTAGTGTTCATTAGTGTTCATTAGTGTTCATAAGTGTTGATTAGCGGTCGCGGTCGTCCGGCCTGCGTGTTCATTAGTGTTCATTAGTGTTCATTAGTGTTAATTAGCGGTCGCGGTCGTCCGGCCTGCGTGTTCATTAGTGTTCATTAGTGTTCATTAGTGTTCATTAGTGTTCATTAGTGTTCATTAGTGTTCATTAGTGTTAATTAGCGGTCGCGGTCGTCCGGCCTGCGTGCGCCGATCGAGACATGAGGAGCTTGTGGACGATGTACCCGACGAAGTAGGCCTTCTTGGTCTCGCAGTACGGCTGGATGCCTAGGGGAGTTGGACCATGCCTCTTGATGGTGGACCGTGAGTGGGGAGTGACTCCGGAGCAGCACGGCTGGCTGCCCACGTGCGGAAGCATCTCTCGCTGCAGGATCTGCTTGGCGTACTCGATGCGCTTGTCCTTGCTCACCCCCTGGGTCGAGCCGCGCTTGCCTGCGGCGGCGAGGGGGCGCCTAGCGGGTGCCTCTGCCACCGGCGAGCGGCCAGCTGCGCGTCCCGTGCACCGGCGAGGGCCTGGCGAGGCTCCGCGCCGCGCTGGGCTGGGGCAGGTGGCAAAGAGAATTTTACAGTTGCGCCTCAAGGCGATGGAACTCCTCGTCCCATCCCTCGTTTGCCGTGTCTGTTTTCTTTCTTTCTTTATGGAACTCCTTAAAATCCCTAGAAGCCGGGAGAAAAGGGACCGGCTGGCGGCGGCGGCGTCGCAGGACGGTCTTCTGATAAACGCAGTATGGAAGATACAAAGAGACGGAGGAGCAACGAGCGCCCTGGCGTGAGCCGAAGACACTCCCGAGCGCCCTGGCGTGAGCCGAAGACTCCCTCCCTCCGTAGACACTGATCACACACGGGTGGGACAGGGTGGGTCACAACAACGAGGCACGAGAGCGTGCACGACAGAGCGACGGCGCAGCGTACCGCCGTCCAGCTAAAAAGCGGCGGCCGACGGTTGCTGCGCAAAGTGATCAGTTCTAAAATAGGTGCCGGGGCCCAACGGATAGATGAATCCGGGGCACCCTCCGCTCGAATCCCTGGCCGGGGGTTCGAGGTGGCCCCCACCCTGGGGCCTCCCATCAAAGGGACTGCGGCAGAAGACGCCCAATCTTGCACAAGTGCAAGAACCATACGTCTTCTGATAAACGCAGTATGGAAGAATCAAAGAGACGGAGGAGCAACGAGCGCCCTGGCGTGAGCCGAAGACACTCCCAACTGCGCTCCGTCACCGGTGTCGCGGTCTCCCCCACTGAGGACGATCTGCGGGGGGGAGTCGCGCCGCCGGCATGTATCTGTGCAACTGTGTTTTTGCCTTGTCCCGTTTGATGGAGCAAAGTCACGGGCCGCCCGCGCTTGAAGGCGGTCGCGCCAGGCGCGGGCGGCACTAGTTGCCGGCGATCCGCTTGGGCAGCGCCCACGCTTGCCTCTGGCTAGGTCTCCATAGGTCGCGCGGCCCGAATGCTCGAATTGAACGTCTCGCAAGCTGGCGTCGCTCGCGTAGCTGTGGCAGGGCGATCCTCCCTCCGAATGAGGGAGATCTCTAGCCTCCTAACGAGGTTGCCCTCCGGCTGGCTGTTGCCGACAGCAGTTAACACCTCCGCAGTTTGCGTCGGTCGCGCCACAGGTAGAGACGTTGAGCTCGACAAAGTCTTGGTAGTTGTTTCGGGCCATCAGTCCGACAGGAGAGGGCCAGCGGTCGCCTCCTTGAGCTGCCCATGCCTTCGCCGGTTTGGAGTATCGTCGCCGCCACCCCCATGTGCGCCCAGGAAAAGGAGGGCTCCCCACTGAGGACGGTCTGCGGGGGGAGCCGAGTCGCACGGAACGACCTCCTGATGGGATCGCCCCTCCTCGCTGAGGACGATCTGCGGGAGGAAGGGCCCCACCTCTCCCCACTGAGGACGGTCTGCGGGGGAAGAGGTCCTGGATCGAACAAACCTTGCCTCCGCTCAGGACGGCTGACAAGGACGGCGACCACCGCATGGAGGTGTCCATTGATCCACTCGGGGGGTGGTCCCAAGGGTCACAGCTCAGGCCGAGCGGACGCCGGTGCGACGACGAGGTCCTCCCGCCACGGGCTCCGGCGGGGCCCTCGCCGCTCCCCACTGAGGACGGTCTGCGGGGGGAGAGGCCGGCGAGGCGCTCCAACCCGGGTCGATCTCCAGCGTCGTCCTGCTGGTTCCTCGCAAGTACACCTGGAACCTCTTCGTCCACGGATCGCCGGCATCGCAGGCGCGGAAGTCCGCAGAGCAGGGGACGAGGTAGTCGGATACGATCGTGTCGGGCTGCTCGAGGAAAACACAGCCACCGTCCGCGCAAAAGGCGTAGACGAAGAGGAGGAGGCAGTGTAGCGCCCGTCCGTCCTGCATTTTGAGCGGCAGGTAGTCGTCTCGTCGCAGCATGTGCGTGCACGGCGTGAAGCAGAAGACGCCATCAGGCCAGTGGAAGAGGTGGAGTACGAGGCGAAAGTCGCCGCGGAAATGCAGCCCTGGAAGTAGCGAGTCGCGCACATCGATCGAGATAAAGATGCGTCCGCGCCGTCGCTGTTCCTCTCGGATAGTCGCCGAGTACTCGCAAACCGTGCAGCCCGTAGGCGCCCCATACGGCAGCGCCATGAGGCGGCGGAGCTCCCCCACGTCCACGATCGGGAAGGAGAAGGTCGACCAAGCCTGTCGCCGCCGCTCCTCGAGGTCCCGAGGCAGCGCACGGAGCAGGGAGTCGAGCGTCGGCGCCTTGGCTGCAATAGCGCGCGAGCAACGCTGCTCGGCCACTCGGTCGCGCGCCACGGTGGTCCCGCCCACATACTCGGCGCGAGTCTCAACCTCCGCAGAGTAGTTCTGAAAAGAGTTGGTCCTCAGGCAGGCCGGGAAACTCGAGCGGGTAGTCTTCAGCATGCTGAGCACATGCCGAGCGAGCAGGGCGGGATGCCCATCGCTCGCTCGCGGAGTGATGTGACCAGCGGCGGCGGCGAGCGATGCAGCCCCCACGACGGCGCTCCCCATGGGATCGACGCGCGCTGCCGCCGTGAAGACGGGCCCCAAGCAGCGGGTCATGTCAGACAGGGCTGCGAACGGGACGTCGGCCGTAGGGTCGCAAAGAGCCCCGACTGTCGCGTACTGCAAGAAGTCGACGGCCTTTGCTTCTGCAGATGGCGCTGGTCCCAAGGGCACGATCGCCTCAGAGTACCCCAAATCGCCCCACTGCAGATAGAGCTCGGGCACCGGGATTTGGCGGGAGTGCAGAGCCTGGATGCACACACCGTACGGAACGCATCCTCATCCACGTGCACCGTGCTGAAAACGCCGAGGTCGGACAAGGCACCGAGGATGCGGCGCCAAGCCGCGGCCAATACGGCCAGCCGCAAGACGCTGAGCCTGTCAAAGTGGGTGGCCACAGCGGGCTCGGGCTCACTGAAGGGGAGCAGCGCACTGATGGCGACCCACTGCGGAATCTGGACCCACGACGGTTGCATCCCCGGAGGAGGAGGGGGCAGCTGGAGGAAGGCTGGATTGCCCACCACAGACCACGGAATGAAGCGCAGGGTAGAGCCTACCACTGTTGAGTCGACGGGTATCACCAGTGGCTTTGCGGGATCGGGGTGCTGCTCGGCCGGAATGCTGAGCTCGGCGGCAGTGAGGTCCGGCATCGCAGCGCCAGTCGTCTCGTCGAGGGCTACCTCTCGACTCTACTCCCGTGTCACAACAACGAGGCACGAGAGCGTGCACGACAGAGCGACGGCGCAGCGTACCGCCGTCCAGCTAAAAAGCGGCGGCCGACGGTTGCTGCGCAAAGTGATCAGTTCTAAAATAGGTGCCGGGGCCCAACGGATAGATGAATCCGGGGCACCCTCCGCTCGAATCCCTGGCCGGGGGTTCGAGGTGGCCCCCACCCTGGGGCCTCCCATCAAAGGGACTGCGGCAGAAGACGCCCAATCTTGCACAAGTGCAAGAACCATACAGGCAGAAGAGAGCGACGCGACAGAGGAAGAAGTAACAAGGGACAGAACAACGAGAGTGGGACGACCGCGAGGTGGCATGAAGGTTGCAGCGAGAATCGGCGAGAGACTGCGAAGAGAGATAGGAAGAGGCAGACTCCCTAGGGTGGGCGACGGCTACAGTGGGTTGCGGGCATTAAGAAAACGTACCATTAAGAAACCCTACCAAGCGATTTCCGCAAAAATCTAAGAAACCACGGCGCGCCGCAGGCGCGGCCCCGAGAAAAGGCCAGACACGAGTGTGAACGGGAGGCCCAGCTCAAAATTTCTCTTCGCCTGCGGCGCGCGCACTTGTCACTTTCCAAGTCTGCGGTGTTCTGAGTGGATGGAGTGAATGGAGGCAGTGTGTGCGTCTTCCCGTCATCCAGTATCCAGACAGAGAGCCGACTCGGCGGCAGACTCTGGCATCGCCCTCGCGGACCGCAGCTTACCTCTTACCTAAAAAATCCTTCGGGCCGGCGCTCTGGCTTGAGTGCCCCGGCCGGAGCTAAGAAACCACGGCGTGGGGTGGATGAGGGCTGTGGAAAGGCTTAGAAACGGCGGCGTGCCGCGAAATCCTGTTTTCTTAATGCCCGCAACCCACTGTAGCGCATCACACACCTCTCCTTAAAATCCCTGTGTGGTGGCGCACACTCACACCACACACACAAACAGGCTCACAAGACACACAGCGCGGGCTGCCACACACCCAGAGAGAAAAACGGGAAAAAGAAAAAGCGCACAAGAGCAGTCTCGCCCCGCTGCTCGCTCTTCATGCCGCTTTTTCGCACGCCGCCGCTGGCGCCACTCGAGAGCAACGACTGCTCTCCCCTCTCAGCGTTGGCGGCGGTGAAGGCGGAGGCGCGCGTGATGGCGGAGGCGGAGGGTCTGCGATTGCACCTCTCCAGCGGCACCAGCACTGGCTACAAGGGTGTCTACAAACGATCTGGCCGGTTTGAGGCCGTGTTCATTGGCGTCAGGGGCGACATCCACGTTGGTGTCTTTGACACAGCTCTGACGGCGGCAGTGGCATATGCGCGGGCTTGCGTGGCGGCGGCGGAGGCGGAGGCGGCGGTGGCGGCGGCGGCGGCGCAGCCGGTGTCGGAGGCGGACGGTCTTCGCTTGCACCTGTTCGACAAGAACCCGACCGGTTACAAGGGCGTGCGCACAAGCGACTCTGGCCGCTTCGAGGCGCGGCGAAAGGTGGACGGAAGGTATGTTTCCCTCGGCCACTTTGACACGGCGCTGGAGGCAGCGGTGGCGTACGCGCGGGCGGTGGCGGAGGCGGAGGCGGAGGAGAGCGGCGGCCCGGCGCCAAAGGTCGTCCTCAAGCTTGCGGGCTTCGAGGAGTGGGCGGCGGCGCGTGCGTCGCGCGCGAAGCCCAAGGCGAAGCCCAAGGCGAGCCCCAAGGCGAAGGAGTCGCCAAAGGCGCGCATGTTTGCGAACGTCCGGGACGCCGCAGTGCCGGTCGCAGTGCCGAGCGGCGGTCTCCCGGCTCTGCGGGCCACCACGCGGGCGCGCCTCTGGACCTTCCCGGCGCTCGGGCACCGCTTCGGCCCGCCCGAGCAGGTCTGCGCAAGGGCCTGGCCGCCGCGCGTCGGCAGCGGGTCAGCGCTGGTCGACGAGCAGCTGTGGGAGGGGGCGCATGCCGCGGGCTGGCGCCTCCGTGAGAGGTGGTACCCCCCCTCCCTCGAGGCAGCGAGGGTGCTCGTCAGCCCGGCCGGCGAGCCCTTCCGCACGGCTGCCGCTGCGGCCGAGGCCGGCCGCGTGGAGGTCGAGACGGTGGCGGAGGAGGCGGAGGCGGCTGGCGAGGCGGAGGGCGAGGAGGAGGAGGAGGAGGAGGAGGCGGAGGCGGCTGGCGAGGCGGAGGGCGAGGAGGAGGAGGAGGAGGCGGAGGCGGAGGCGGCTGGCGAGGCGGAGGGCGAGGAGGAGGAGGAGGAGGAGGAGGCGGAGGCGGAGGCGGCGGGCTCAGCGGACAACACTACCGCCTCGCCGCAACAGACGCCGCCTCCGCCGCACAGGGAGGCTGCACCCGCCGCGCCGCTCGTGACAGAGGCGGAGGGGCTGCGCTTGCACCTCTCGAGCAGCAACAGCACCGGGTACAAGGGCGTGTGGGAGGGAGGGAGGTACTCCTGCCGCTTTTGCGGCGCTGGCAAGCTGCAGCCTGCCTCCAAGTGCCCCTGCTACGGAGGCCGTTCGCTCGCGGCGGAGGAGGAAGGGGAGGCGGAGGCGGAGCCGGGGGAGGCTGTCGGGGGCCTGCAACTCCACCGGTCCAGCCGCAGCAGGACCGGTTTCAAGGGCGTGATCTGGCAAGACGGCATGGCAAAACGGCCATTCACTGCGCAGCGCTATGAGGGCAAAAGAGCCACCTACCTCGGCTCGTTCGGCACAGCGGTGGAGGCGGCGGTGGCGTACGCGCGCGCGGAGGCGGAGGCGGAGGCGGAGGCGGAGGCGGAGGCGGAGGCGGAGGCGGAGGCGGAGGCGGAGGACCCTTCCCTCCGCTGCGAGGAGGCGCCGGCGGAGCGCCGTTGCAGCAACGTGCTCGACTCCCAGGGCGGCGCGTTTGGGTGCCTGCTGCCCGCGGGCCACGCAGGCGCGCACGAGTTCGCGCAGCCGGCCAAGCGCGCGCGGAAGAGCTCGTGGAAGGCGGCGGAGGGGAGGCGGTCGGAGCCAAAGGGGCAGGGCGGCGTCTCGCGGAACGGGCCGGCGTGGACGGAGCAGGAGGGCGCGCAGCTCATGCAGCTGGTGAGCGTGCACGGCCGCAAGTGGAAGGTCATCGCCGAGTCGATACCCAACCGGACGCACGACGCGCTGAAAAACCGGTACGAGCGGCTTCTCAAGCTGACCGAGAACGGCGGCTCGCGGGCAAACGGGCACGCGGCGAGCGAGTCTGCGGACGGGAAGCAGCACATCCCGCCGGGGGCGATCTTCGTGCCCGCGTCGGCGGATGACATGAACCTGTGAGCTCGGCGAGATGCTCAACGTTCGGGTGTGGGCGTGGACTTTCCTAGCTTGTAGGAGAGTGAGCTTGCTCTCGATCGAGCATTAGGTAGCATCTCATCTCACGAGGTCGGCCCACAAAGCCAATCGAGGACCAAAAAGAATCTTAAAATACAAGCCTCTCTCACAGGGGTGCGGACTGGTGCGGACAGTGCTCAGTGGCCTGGCGAGCGTAGTCCGTAGAGGCCCCGCCCACCCAGGGTACCCCTCTCGAGGGACCCATTGGGTCTCGCCGGGGCTCTGCTCCAAGAGACCTCGAGAGAGCGTGCGTGTGCCTCTACTCGCAGGAGCGGACTGGCTTACAAACAGCTCACCAAAAGAAGAATCTACAACAAAACTCCCCTAGGCAGTTGTGCAAAAGAAGAACACCGACTCGCTCCCGACGGCTGGCGCGCCGCCCCATCGCTGCTTCAGTAGCGGACCTAGGGATCCTAACCCGCCTCTAACATCTCTATAAGGGATCCCTAGTCGCTAGTGCCGTATCCCCATGAGTTCAGTCGCGAAGCCCGCTGTTGTGTCTACACAGCGAGAGACGATCGCGACGCTCGATTCGTTCCTTCGCTGGCACCTCCACGGCGCTGGCTTCAGCCACGTCTACCTCTACTTTGACGCGCCGGAGACCGAGCCGGACGCGCTTGCGCTCGCACGCGACGAGCGGTGGGGCGGCCGCGTCACCGTTTTTGCTGCTGACGCTGCCTTCCGCCAGCGAGAGGGCTACTCAGCTCTGCCGTCCTTTGACGAGCTCGCACCGAGCGTGGAGACGCACGTGCAGTCGCGTCAGCGGCTCAACTGCGAGCACTGCCTGCGGGCGTGCGCCTCTGCGGGCGTGGACTGGCTGCTGCACGTCGACAGCGACGAGCTGTTTGTGCCGGCGGCGGGGGAGCGCGCGCCGGCTCACTTTGGCCGTTTATCTGCCCGCGGCTGCTGGCAGTTCACCTACCGAAACCTCGAGGCGGTGCCGACCGCTGCGGCGGCGGAAAGCGGCGACTGCTTTGCGCTCGTCGACCACTTCAAGCAGCACGAGGGCTCGCTGCCGGCGGCCGCGCTGGACGGGACGAGCGGCGCGGCGAAGGCGGCGCTGCAGCACTGGCTCGACCGGTCAGTGGCTCGGCTGGGCCGGCCTGCCTGGTACCTCTTCTACTCGAACGGCAAGTCGGCCGTGCGAGTCTCGTCGGCGGGCCAGTGCAGCGGCGTGCACGGGTGGGCGAGCGGCGGCGCGGAGGAGTCCACACACCGTGCTGGCGGGGGGTGGCTCACGAACCTGCAGAGGCGGCCGCCGCAGCCCTCCTCCTCGCGCCTCCTCGTCGAGGAAGAGGGGGCCGTGGTGCTGCACTACGCCTGCTGCACGCGAGTGGGCTTCGCGTCCAAGGACTGGCGCGCGCTCGGCTACCTCGACGGCGTGGGAACCTCGTGGGCACGCCGGTGGCAGCGGATGCGCGACAAGGAGGAGAGGACGGGGAGGCTGGGCGAGGGCAGCTTGGGCGAGGGCAGCTTGGGCGAGGGAAGCCTGGGCGAGGAGCACCGCGCTCTGGTCGGTCTCGCTGACTCGGAGCTGCTCGAGCGCCACGTCGAGGCGGGCGTGCTCGTAAAGGACAGCCGGGTGCGGCGGTTCCTGCGCGGCGCCGCTTCTTCGCGAGACCCGACCCCGTGCGGCGAGGGCTGCGGCGAGGGCTGCGGCAGTGGCGGAGGCGGAGGTGGAGACGGCAGCGACAGCAGCGACGACGGCAGCGACAGCAGCGACGGCGAGTCGGCCCGGCTGCGAGAGGAGGCGCACGCGCGGGGCGAGGAGGAGGAGGAGGAGGAGGAGGAGAGGAGGAGGAGAGGAGCCTCTTCCGTGAGCCCTTCCCGCACCCTTCCTGCAGGCACACGCAAGGCGCGAGCTGCGGCGGCTCCGCTGGTCCGAGGCGGGCAGCTGTTCCTAGACACTTCGCAGACACTTCGCAGACACTTCGCAGACACCTCGCAGACACCTCGCAGACACTTCCTAGACACCCCCGCTGGTCCGAGGCGGGCAGCTGTCCTTCCCTCGGATAGATGCAACCTCGTCTCGGAAGCCGGCTCGCGCCTCACCCGCAGGCGGGCCGCCGTCTCGCGTCGGAGGGCTACTGTGTCATCGACGGCTTCCTGGGCGCAGAGGCGGCCGCCAAACTCGGGGGGGGGGGGGGCTCGAATTAATTGATCATGACGAGTCAGTGAACTAACAGGCGGCCGGCGAGCTCGAGGGAGGCGTGCGCGCGCTGCGCCGCAGCGGAGGGTGTGTGTTCAAGGTGGGCAGGACGGGCGGGGGAAGGGACGGCGGAGGGACGAAGCACTGCGAGTCTGCCGTGCGAGGGGACGAGGCCGCGGTGATCGGGAGAGGCGAGGAGGCGTGCTTGCCCGGGCTGCGCCCGCTCCTGCGCAGGTGCGGGCTCCTCGCTGCGATGGCTTCTGGCCTCTGGTGCGAGCCTTGCCGCGCCCTTTCCCATAGGGAGGACGAGCTGGTCGCTGCGATGGCGGGGCCGGCCACCGAGCTGCGGTCCGTCACGTCGCGCTCTCACCCGATGTGCGCCTGCTACCCGGGCGGAGGGGCGAGGTACGTGCGCCACTTGGACAACCCGGGCGGCGCGGGCTGTAACGGGCGGCTGCTGACTTGCCTGTACTACCTCAACCCGGCCTGGCGCGGGGAGGACGGGGGGCAGCTGCGCCTCCACCGCAGGGACGGGTCTGTGGTGGACGTCGAGCCGCTCCTCGATCGGCTGGTACTCTTCTGGTCGGAGGAGGGCAACTCACTACCGTTCGCTTGTTTACTGCTCGTCTATTGAACTAGGTCGTCTTCTGGTCGGACGAGCGCACGCCGCACGAGGCAACGCCCCCCTCCATCGCCCCTCGCCCCTCGCCCCTCGCCCCTCGCCCCTCGCCCCTCGCCCCTCGCCCCTCACCCCTGGCTCTGGCCCTGCCTCCCGGTGCCTCAGGTCCTGCCCGCCTCGAGACCTCGCTGGGCGATCTCGACGTGGTACCACCGCCGCGAGGCGCAGCCGGCCCGCGAGGGGGAGGGGGAGGGGGAGGAGGTGAATATTGGCAGCGCGGGCGGCGGCCTGAGCGAGTGCAGCTTCGGCAACAGCACGGAGGAGATCGAGAGCTTCCTGCTCGCCCTGCTCGCCCTGAAGGGCGGGGAGGCGCAGCACGCGCCAAAGGCCACGCACTACCGCGAGAACCTGAGGAGCTGGTAGGAGAGGGCGAGGTAGGGCCGGAGTAAAATGGCGCGCGTGCCCCGGAGAACGAGGTGCGCCGGCGTGCCGGTCCCAGAGGCGCCCGGGGCGCCGCCGCGCACTCCGCACAGCGCCAGCGGCTGTGCCACAGCGCACAGCCACAGCAGCGCACAGTGAGCCTACCCTGAGGGCTCAGGCCCCGTGACTCAGGGGCCTGCGAGCTGCGTGCTGCGACGTTGACAAACGGTATAGTAAAAAAGCCTGCTGACGGGACGGCCACACAGCGGGGACGGCGACGCGTGTGTGCTGACAGCAGCTCGCTGTGCGACGCTGGTCATGCCACCACGAACCAACCAGCGCGGAGTGGGCTCCGCGGCTCCCACAGAAAAAACCCACATTGCGTCGCTCCTGCGCGCACTATAACGGCGTGCGCTGCCCCCTCGTCGCGGCTCGCCCGGCAGCAGACTCTAAGGCTCACAGTCCATCTACACTCCTCTATCGGTCGAGCTCTGCAGCTTACTTGGTGCGCTGCGCCCGCAGCACGCCAGACATCTCCTCGCGCTTCGCCTTCGCACGCTTGTGAGTCCCTGCGAGGCGGCCGGCAGGGCGCGTGGGCGGACCGGCGGTGGCGGAGAAGAAGGGTGTGGGGGGGGGGGGGGGCATGGTTGGACAAGGGGGTGGACAAAGGGGGGAGGGGGGGCGGAGGGGGGAAAAACCGCCCCCAGCTTGTTCTTCAGCACTTTGAGCGCACGCTTCTCCTTGCCAACCTTCAGCAGCTCCATGGTGCGCTTCTCGTACGGCGCGTAGCCCGCAACCTCGCGCACGATCTCGCGCACAAACGCAACGCGCTTGTTCAGCTTCTGCGGGGGGCGGAGAAGGGCGCGGCGTCGGCGGCCGGTGTGCGGCGCTCTCACGCGCAATGGCGGCGCCGCGGTGCGGCAGCGGTGTGGCCCATGTCGGGAACGCTTGGGCGCCGCCCCCCGTCGTCACGTCCCGCCCTCGCGGGCGCGGCGAGAGGGGCACGGCGCCGACGGGGCGACGCGGGGCAAGGTAGGTCGCACCCCCTTGCGGTACGACGGCTTGGGCTTGAGATCCCGCGAGGTGAGCACGTGGCCCTTGTCCATACCCACAGCCAGGCCCGTCTTCCGCTCACCCTTCGGGTGGCCCGTGAAGCCTGTCAACCGAACCGTGGACATGGTGCTGCAGCGTGTGGAGGCGACGGAGGCAGCAAGCCCGGTTTTCTTTTTTCATTCTATCCTAAGGTAGTTATGTGAACGCCGACTCAGGGTGTGTGGCAGCCAGCTGGCTGTGTGTCTTGTGAGCTTGTTTGTGTCTGTGTGTCGCTCGTGCGTGTCGTCATCATCTGTCCAGCGTCCACCCATACCGCGTTGGTGTCCAGTCCGAGCCTGGCTGTTCTTCACCTTTCTACCTACCTACCTACTAAGGTGAGAGGGCTTCGTCCCTTCTCTACACAACATGCACAGCATTGGCCTTTCCAGACTCTTTCCGACGTCAAAATCTCTCCCTGTACTCGGTGGGGTCTCTGCGAAGTCATCAAACACAAAAGCAGTGCGCTGTGCGGCAGATGCTGTCACCGAAAGGTGAGCCGGACGTTTCCGAGCTCGCCAAAGCAGGCCACGATGTCGTCGCCCACGGCGAAGGCCTTGGTCTTGGAGCAGGCGCCCGTGATGACGGTCTGCCCCGGCCTCAGCCGCTCGCCGCGCGACGGGAGGTGGTTGGCGAGCCAGGTGAGGCTGGCGAGGGGGGAGCCGAGCGGGACGAGGGAGGCGGCGCCAGAGGCAACCTGCGTCCCATTGATCGAGATCGTCGTCTCTACCGCCGCGAGCGCTTTTGCAGAGGGACAGCCGGCGCAGCCCACCCGCCAGCCTCGCCCGCGCACCACTGCCCCGGCGCTCTGTGCGTCGGCCGACTTTTCCAGCGCCGTCGGCTTCTCGAGCGCGTACCGCGAGCCGCAAGCCTCGATGGCGAGGAACACCTCGCCGACGGCCGCCCACACGTCCGCCTCTGAGAGCGGGAAGCAGGTCGAGGCGGGCACAGGAGTCGACCTCATGACAAAGCCAACCTCCGCCTCGACGTTGCTGTAGTTGCAGCGCGCCCGCGGCAGCGACACGCCCTCCGCCACGACGCCAAACTCGGGGCTGGCGACACCGGGCGGCGGCCCGAGCAGCAAACCCGGGAGCGCAGGCACCGGCTCGCCGCTCGGAAGCGCCGCCACGCCGGTGCCGCCCATCTTGTAGCCCACGACGCCGCCCACAGAGCCGATCGACGGGTGCTCCCGCAGCGCCTCGTGCACCGCGTACACAGAGGCGACGTCGGGCGGCGTGAAGTGGTCGCCTCGCTCAGTGATGGTCTCGCCGGTGAGCCAGGCTCGGGCGAGGCGGTCGGCGCAGGCCGCGGGGCTGAAGGACGTCGTCGATGACATATGTGCGTCAAGGCTGGCGTGTTGACCACGTAGGCCGTCGACCCGCCCCCTCCCGGAGGTCTGGGCAGAGGTCTCCCGGAGAGATGGGCGACGCACGAACCCGAGGCACAGCGCGCACCCGGCCTGCGCCGAATTCTTCTCCTTTCACGAAAGGAAGAAATTCAGGTGCTTCGTAAAGCTACCACTGAAAGGAAGAAATCGAGGCGCTGTACCCCTCCTCCCGCCACTCCCCCGGGGGGCCAGGGCTCTGAGGCGGCGCCACTCATGAGGCGTCGGTTCCTGTGTCATCTCCTCCTCGCGGCGCCGCCTGCTCGCGCGTGCACCACCATTCTTGCAGGCCGCGGCGCCACCGCCGACGGCTCCACCCTGCTCTTGCACACCGACGACGGCGGCGACCTCGACTTTCGGCTCGGCCGCACGCACCCGCGGGACGTGAGGAAGCCTTGGCCAGTGCTGCGCAAGCGGCCGCAGTACCCTCGCGAGGTGTCTGATCGCTCTCCCACATATTCGCCAGACAGCCTCGACGCGACTCTGCCCGCCGACCTCCTCGACCGCTGGCGATCGGCCGAGTGGGCTGCCAACCAGACGATCGGAAAGCTCGCGCTCGACCCGTCAATAGCGGTGCTGCTTGGCGTTGACCCAGACACAACGCGAACCTTTGGTGCCCTCGAGGGCGCGTATGCCATCGTCAATGAAAAGCAGGTGGCCATCGTCGAGAGCACCTGCGAGGTGCCTCCATTCATGTGGTCGCCCGCCCGCCCGCCCGCGACGCCGGGCCGGCCGCACGCGACGCGGCGCGACGGCGCGCTCTGGGACATGGGCGCTCTCACGCAGGTGGCGCTAGCGCTCTGCGCCACCGCTCGCTGCGCCGTCGACCTGATGGGCCACCTGGCGGTGCGGGACGGCTTCTACGGCGAGGACGGCTCCGACGCGGCAAAGCCGTTCGGAGGCGAGAACGTTATGGTGGCCGACCCCGAGGAGGGTTGGATGCTCGAGGTGTCGACTCTACCTCCCGATGTCGCCGCGGGCGCGGGGGTCGAGGGCGCGGACGGCGGCTACTCTGCCGTGTGGGTGGCCAAGCGTGTGCCTGACGGCCACTTTGCGATGGTTGCGAACCGCTTCACGATCCGCGACGTGGTCGAGGTGACTCCGGACGAGAGCACGCGGAGCACGCTCGCTTGCCGCGGGGAGGAGGTCCGCCACTCGTCCAACCTCTTCGCCCTCGCCGAGCACATCGAGAGGCACTCCCTCAACCCGATGCCCTTCGAGAGCCTGCCCGCGGGCGCGCGCAAGCTCGAGGGCGGCGGGCTGCGCGTCACCGACTGGGCGAGGACTTTTGGCTTCTTCGTCCGGCCCGACTACGCCTCGTACACAAACGGCCGCATCTGGCGCGTCCTCTCCGTGCTCGCTCCGCAGGGAGAGTGGCGCTGGCCGGCGGCGACTCCCCTCGCCAACGAGTACGCTTGGTCGCACGAGCCCTCCCGCCCGCTGACGGCCGCCGACATCCTCGCCCTCGCGCGCGACGTCTACCGAGACGTCGCCGCGCCGGGGCTCGACGTCACCCGCGGCCTGGCTTCTGGACCGCACGGCGACCCCTCGCGGTACGACGATCCGCAGTACGGCACGCCCGGCGAGGGCGGTGGCGGCCCCTTCCCGCGCGCGATCTCCATCTTCCGGACCTCCTACTCGCACCTCATCGAGCTGGGCCGCCGCGGCGGGCGGCTCGCCGGCGCGCGAGTGTGGCTCTCGCAGGGCGCCCCGCATGCCGCCGTCTACACGCCCGTCCACGTGCAGCCCGCCGCCGCCGACGCGGGGGGGAGCGTCGCCGACATGCCTGCGAGCCTGACGAGCGGGTCGCTCCACAGAGCCGATGCGCTCGACGGCGCGCCCGCGAGCACCTCCGTCTTTTGGCGGACGACGCTGCTGAACAACTGGGCGCGCGCCGTCGGCTACGACTTCGCCTGGGGCTTGATCGAGGCCGCGCAGAGGGAAGTGGAGGCTGCGACGAGGGCTGCGGCCGACCGGGCGGAGGAGGCGGCGGCGGCAGCCGGCAGCGAGGTGGAGGCGGCCAGGCTTCTCGCGGAGGCCGACAGCGCCGCTGCAGCGCTCAGCGCGCAGCGCCACCACGACCTGATCGCTGCGCTGATGACGCGGCTGCACGACGGCTACCTGATCGAGCCCCACGCGCCAAAGCTGCAGCTGACCAAGCTGTGGTACCCGAGCTGGTGGCTCGAGCGAGTCGGCTTCTACACCCAGGAGGCGGAGGCCATGCCGCCGCGAGAGGGATTGCCCCAGCGCACGAAGGAGGAGGCGCGCCCGCGCGACAGCTACCGAGCCGAGTGGCCCAAACGTGCCGCGCCCACCACCAATTTGGCGGTGTCGCCGGTGCAGAGATCGCCTGGCAGGCCCGCAGCAGCGGCAGCCGCATCAGGCTTGCCGGCGCTGACGGTGCTCGTCGCGCTGGCCTTCGCGCTCGGCACTCTTGTGGGCTCCAACATGCATCGCCGGCTCACCCCGGTCGGCAGCTTGGGTGAGCCGCTTGTGCGCGCCGAGGCCGAGGTTAGAGTGGGATTTGGAGCAGTTGATTAGTTTGTGCGTACCGCGAGTATGGCGAGGCAAGTTGTGATCGCCGGATCGTTATCGGCGTGTGAGGTTCTCGCGGTCGCGATCTCGCCTCGTGGCCAACGCCAGTTTAGCCACTGTTAGAGTAGTCCTAGTCGCCGAGCTCGAGAGCAGCGAGCGTGGTTAGCACTGGGTTAGCATATATTTAGTTTTAGAGGCAGCGGGTTGGTCAACTTGTTCGACGGATTGGCTCCGTCTTCGGATACCCATCACTGAGCCGACGATGCTACGGGTAGCCCCAGGGTGGCGCCCACCCCCATACCCTCGCGGGCACTTGCCTGCGCCCTCGCGCGCTAGCCCACGCCCTGCCCCACAAGATCTCACTCCATCCCGGCCTGCGGCATACCTCGGCGCCCCCTTGCACGGAATTTCAAAACGCCCAGGTACCCTGCTCAGACCGGCGAAGCGCCACACAGTGCCACGCAGTTCGCAGTGCCGCACAGTGCGGCGTGCGCGCGGGCGCGCGCGGGCGTGCGCGGGCAACGCGCAGGCGCAGGCAAGTGCCCGACCGAGGCGCGGGCGCGCGCGGGCGGGCGCGGGCGGGGCGCGGCGCGGGCGCGACATCGGCATGTGGATGCTGGGCACAAGAAGGGTGATCTCCGTCGCGGAAGAGCAGGCAGACAAGAAGTGAAACCCGGCCGAGGTGTGTAAAGAATTTTACCACAAAACTCCGTCGCACAACGCTGGGCACGGGACTCGCGCGCACTGGCACTAAAAGGTACACCTGTGTAAAGAAAGACTGTGCCCCCGGGTACTCTGACTGCTTCGCCTGGCAGTGCTTGCCACTGTCTCCTCGAAGCGTTTGCATGGCCACTCTGCTCCTCCTCAGCACTGCTTACTCCCTCCACCCTCTCTCACACCGTGCCCCGCGTGCGCGCTGCTGCCGAGCGGACACCCTCTGCTCGTCGGCCGCCAGCCTGCCGCCACCGCTTCGGGACGCCGACGCGTTTGCGCGCGGCGTCCTCGACTGCGACGCGACTGCTTGGTGGCGGCAGGACTCGCAGCCCTGGTGCCTCTCGCCGACGGCGTCTCCTTCAAAAGAGATGTGTCCGTCGACGTCTCGCGCAGACGGCTCACGCTCCGCGTGGCCGACAGCGACGTGGCGGTGGGCGAGCTGTGGCACGAAGTAAATGTGGACGCGTCGGACTGGTTCGTGGACGATGCGCCTGACTTTGGCGACGCGCGCTTCCTGGTGGTCGAGCTTCAGAAGCGCGAGAGCTTCGTCGACTGGGCGGCTCCGCTCAAGCCGGCGGGTGGCGGCAGCGGAGAGGAGGGTCGGAGGAGCCTCATCATCGGCGGCAAGGGCGAGGCGCAGAAGCAGGCTCCCACTCGCAATGTAGCACTCTCCTTTTTTTTCCCTCACCCGCGACTCGCCTCTCTCTCTCTTCCAGGCGACGGCGGTGCAACTCGCCTCGTACCAGCTCCTGCAGAAGCTACCCAGCGCAGTGCGGGGCGACGTGTACGCGCGCGAGGCGGCCAGCAGCGAGACGCTCTACTTTCTCGGAAAGGTCATCGCAGAGGCGACCGACGCGGCGCTCGCCCTAACGGCGCAGGAGGCGAGATGCTAGCCGAGAGATGGCCGAGGTGTAGCCGAGATGCAGCCGGGATTTAGTCCGCGCGGCGCAGGAAAGCGCCTCGAGCGCACTCACGCCTCCACTGCAGCAGCCTCTGCAGCCACTGCAACCTCTGCAGCCACCGCAGCCTCACACCATGAGCCCCGCCGCCTGCGGTGCCCCTCCACCTTGTCCGCACCGGCAAGGAGCTCGCGCGCCTCCTCCAGGACCCTTCCAGGACCCTTCCAGGACCCTTCTAGGACCCTTCCAGGACCCTTCCAGGACCCTTCCAGGACCTTCCAGACTCTTCCAGGACCTTCTAGGACCCTTCCAGGACCCTTCCAGGACCTTCTAGGACCCTTCCAGGACCCTTCCAGGACCTTCCAGACTCTTCCAGGACCTTCTAGGACCCTTCCAGGACCCTTCCAGGACCCTTCCCGCAGGTGCTCGTCAAAGAGCACGCGCGACTCTACCTGCCGTCCGTCTTCAGGACCCTCCCTGACGAGGCGAGGCAGACCCTTCCTAGACACTTCCTAGACACTCCTAGACACTTCCTAGACACTTCCTAGACACTTCCTAGACACTCCTAGACACTTCCTAGACACTTCCCTGACGAGGCGCCGCTCCGCCTCGCGCCTTGACACGGCCGTCACACACGCACACGCACACACGCACGCACACACACGCACGCACACACACCACGCACGCACGCACACGCACGCACACACACCAGGCACGCACGCACCCTCGCAGGAGATGGAGCTGTGGCTCGCGCCGGGCAACTCGGAGCTGCGCGTTGCTCAAAACGAGATCCCGCTCCACCGCTGGCGCCGCGTCGACGGGGCCGAGGGCGTGCCGGCAGCGGGCGCGTGCGGCTTCGAGCCGGAGACGGGCCCGCGTGAGGGCTGCGGCGTGCCGCAGGACATGCAGGGGAAGCCATTCGCGGTCCGGCGGGACGGAGCGGGGAGGCCTCTCGCAGCGCCGTTCGAGGCACCGCGCCCGAGTGAGTCCTCCCCGCCCTCCTGCCACTCACACCGCCCACTTCTGGCCCACGTCTCGCGCGCAGGCGAAGCTGATGGCGCCGGACGAGGTGCCAGGCGCATATGAGGCATGGCTGAGGAGCCAGTGAAGATACGTGCGCGTTCGGGTGCGCACCGTTTCGCGCGCCGTTGCACACCCCCTTGTGCATGTTGCAATTGGTATTTTGTTTACCATTTTTCAGATAATAACTTTTCAGATAGCGCGTCGTTCGGTAACCGCGGTAAGTCGAAACGAGACACACATAGAGCGTAACACTCTAAAGCCGTAACACGTACCTTCAGAGCAGCGTGTGCGAACTCGCGAGCGGTCGGATCCTTCGGCGATCGCGTCCCCCCTCGCCTGCCTCCCACATACGCGCACGCACTGACATACAGCACGAGCAGGGTGTGTGTGTGAACACACCACAAAAGTCGAAACGAGTTGTCGCGCGCAACGTCAAAAGCAATTCAAGTCGCTGACACTGTTGCGAGAGAGTTTCTCTCGCTCGTTGCGTCACTCTCGCGCGCGAGCGGTTTGATCGCTCGGGCAGTGTGAGGGCATCTCCTCGCCAACCTTTGTAACAAACTCACCCCCCGGAGGTGAAGCCCCCTCCCGCCCCACCGCTCCGCTGCCGCGCCGCGCCCAGCGGCCTAGTCCCACGCCTCGTCGCCGTACGCGTTCCTGCGCGCGCGGCGCGGCGAGGCGCTCTCCGAAGCCGCCGGCCGCCCCTGCGCCGCCACCGCCCGCTCCCGAAGCCCAACCCATGCGGACGAGGAGGCGGAAGGGTCGCGGCCGGCGGCGGCGCGCGCGCGGACATCGGCCCACGAGGAGGAGTCGCCTACCGACGGGCACACGATGACGTCTCCCGGACATGTCCCGGACATGTCCCGGACATGTCCCGGACATGTCCCTCGGTCGTGCCGACCTCTCTCCGGCTGCGCGCCGCACTCCGCCTCGTCGCCTCGCCGCTGCGCCCCTTCCCGCCTGCCGTCGCTGGGCCTCGGCTCTCCCAGCCGGAAGGCGCGCCCCTCCGCATCCTCCCTCGCCGTCCGCTGCTGCCTCCGAATCTCGTCCCACCCGCCCTCCCCCAGCCGGCCTCCCTCGCCGCCCTCGCCACCCTCCCCTCCGCCCTCCGCCGCCGCCTCGGCGACGCCCTCGCCGACTCCGTCCGCGCTGCCGCCGCGCCGCCGCACCGCCTCCCCCGGCAGCGCGGAGGGAAGCTCGAGCAGGTTCGCCCTCAGCAGGCTCAGCGCCTCCGCCCCGCCGCCCTCTCCTCCGCCCTCTCCTCCGCCCTCCGTCCCGCCCTGCTGCTGCCCGCCCTGCTGCTGCGAGAGGCTGGCGGCGAGGTTGCGGTGGATGGTGCGCACCGCCTGCCGTCCGCCCAGCTGCAGGATCCGCTCCGCCTAGGACCGGCCCCGAGAGGAAGGTGGGCGAGCCTCCCGCGAGCACCTCACCTCCCTCCCTCTCCCTCCGCCCCGCTCCTCTCTCTTCTCTCCTCGCCTGCTCGGCGAGTGGCGACGAGTCCCCGCTCGAGCGAGCCTCCGCGCCGTGCTGCAGCAGCATAGCCAGCGAAGGTGCGTGCGAGCGGAATGTGGCGAGTCCGTGGCCGACCAGCGCGCCGGTCATCCCGAGCACGATCCGCTGCGGCGTCGGCATCTTGAGCGAGCGACTGAGGAGCGAGCCGGCCAGCCCGCCCCCGAGCGCGGCGATGCCCGCCCCGCGTGACGCACGCCTCTCGCACTCCATTAGAAGCTCGCGCTCACCAGGCGTCGGCTCGTACCTCGCCGCGCGCACCCAGTAGAAGAGGGCCGCGGAAGCCTCTGCTGCCTTGCGGTCGGTGAGCGAGTTGAGCAGCCACGCGGTGCGCTCCTCTTCGCGCAGCGAGGTGCTGCTGTGTCCGTCCGGAGAGCTGAACCCGTCCATCATTGCCGAGCTGCTATGGGCTCACACGGCAGCGAATTGCCCAGGGTCGAGAGGGTGCCGCCAGCCAACAACTGGACGGGGGGGGGGGCGAACAACGCACAAAAAATGCGCGAAGGTATCCCGATAGATCATCCGGCCCGCTGGGTGCGCTTCTTAGCTCCCCGGCCCTGGATGTGAGGTTAATGACTGCACTCCAAGTGCTCCAGGACTGTTGCCTCCCCTTTCTCCCGGCAGTCTCCCGGCCGGGGTGGGGCGCGCGCGGGGGCGGCGGGTGTGCGGGATGTCTGAGAGAGATTTTTAGCAATACCAAACAACTCTAACACTCACACGTCATTTGGGGCCTGGAGCCCTGTTCACGCGCGCGCGAGACGTGCAGACAGGGTTGCCAGGTGAGAGCGAATGGCGCGGTTCACGCCTCGCACAACAGAGAGAGAGATGCGCTCTGCATGGTGGGACATAAAAGAAAGCGAGTACTTGGGCGAGTAGGCCGTGCGGTCGACGCTGCCGCGCGCGGCTTTGCGCGCGAGGCGGCGCAGCTTGAGAACGGCGGTGGGCGAGAAGCCGCCGCCGAACGTCTCGTGGAGCAGCAGGTTGAAGTTGTTGCGCTTGACAAAGATCGCGTCGTGGTAGAAACCGCGATGCGCCTTGACGTAGCCGTGGCCGTTCTTGTGGTCGAAGGGTTGGCCGGGTTGCCCGCGCGCCTTGCAGCCCATGTTTAGGCGGCGGGCCTTCTCTTCGGTGTTGCCGAAGGCGTAGGAGTGGCCAACGTTTGTGTTTGATGTCTGTGTGTGTGGGCCCGAGAGCGATGCGTCATGTGTGTGACATGTTTGTGTCCGCCTTGCGTTTGTTTCATAACATCGAAGGCTAGCTAAAAAGACGCGAACCACACGTTGCCACATGACTCACAATTTTGATGTCACAAGCGTCCACGAAGGAGGACCCTCCCCTTCGGCCGACATCGTCGCAAAAGAGGCAGCCCCTTTGCGCCGAGCGCTGGTCGTCTCGCGCAGCGACACTGCGGCCTTGGCACCCCGAGTGCTGTGCCGGCGGCACAAGACGATCGTAGCTGCTGCCGTCGCGAGTAGGGCGGCGAGTGGCAAGGCCACCGCCAGGGCGAGCGTGTCGGCTCGAGAGCCAGACGGCACGGAGGCGAGACTCGCATCAGACTGCAGCGGCGATGGAAGCAGTGGTGGTGGCGGCGGCGGCGGCGGCAAGGGTGGTGGTGGTGGAGGCGGACTCGATGGCGACTGTGGCAGAGATGGAGGCGAGGGCCGTGGAGGCGGAGGCGAGGACAGAGGCAGCGAAACAGGCGATGGCGGTCGCTGTGGCGCACGCGAGGGCAGCTGAGGCGGTGCCGAGGGCGGCAGAATCTCCGGCGATGGCTCGGGTGCCGGCGGAGAAGGGGAGGGCGAGGGCGAGGGCGAGGGCGAGGGCGAGGGTGGCGGTGGCGGTGGCGGCGGCAGCGACTGTGGCGGCACATCGACGCACTGCCCCGCGGGCTGTCGGTACCTCGCTGGCGCATCCTGAAGCCACCCGTCAGCCCACGTCGCCGACTCTCGCCGATAGACTTGCGGCTGCGTCGCCTGGACCACAGCGCCTCCATCTCCCGTCCACGACGTCGGCCAGTCAGAAGGCGGGCTGTTCGGGCAGCTGTAAAGCGAGCGCGGCGTGCTGCCGCTGATGCGCAGCGGTCTCGTGCACGAGTAGTACACAGAGAAGCATGTGCCCGGCTCGGTGCAGCCCACTCCTGTCGGCGAGCCCCTGTCCCCAATCTTATCGGTCATAGGGTTGGCGAGATGTAGGGCACATTGCTCGCAGGCCACGTCTGGGATCTCGACGGTGATGTAGAGTGAGTGGTACCCTGACTCGTCGCCGGGCGCAGCCCCGGCAAAAGAGTCGTCGTGCGGGACGTGATCGAGAAGCGTGCACGATTCGTCGTCGTCGCCATCAGCGCTCAGCGAGATGCGCCACGGCGAACCGCGATGGGTGATGCTCTCTTCGATGTGGATGGTGAGCGGTCCCGGAGCGACGGCCGTGACAGAGCCGGAGAAGTCGTCGTGCTGAGCACCGCACGGGCCGTTCTTGATGCCCGTGTCGGGCGAGCGTGCGGTCGGGCAGGCGAAGCGAGAGTGGCCGGCAGCGGAGACGAAAGAGAGGAGCATGGCGGATGAGTTTTGTGCGCGGCGAGTACACCACGAGCAGTCAGTGGAGCTCGATCTTGTCGCCGTGACCTTCTCGCCGTGCCCGATAGATTGAAGCGTGTCTCCGGAAACTTGCGGGTCCATCACGCTTCCACCGGTCGCCGATATAGTCCTATAGGTTTGGTAAGGTAGGTGTCCTACCCTGGTGAGGGAAGAAAAATCGCGTAAAACAAAGAAAAATGAAACCCTTCGGTTCACTCCTCATCGGCGGCGGCGGGCTCGAAGCAGCTGCTCGACGGGCCGTCGACGCTCTTCAGCCACTCCTGGGCACGCGCCTCGCCGGCCGTGGAGATCGCGATCTTGCCGCCGGCCACGGTGGCGAAGAGGCCCATATATGTGTGTAAAATGACGCCGCCACACCAATGGCGCGCTCTCCTCCGAGGAGCGATGGGAGACGGGTCGGCGACCGAGAAGGCCTGGAAACTCCTCCTCTTCGTCCTCTTCGTCCTCCTCGCCCTCCGCTGCCGCGCCGCACGACGAGAGCCGCCCCTCGCCGTCGACGAAGAGGCTGTGCCGCATGCCCGCCGCCAGCCTCGCCGGCGGGTTGGACTCGCGCAGCAAGGCATAGACGCACAGCCACCGCACGGCGCAGCTCTCGCCCTCTGGCAGCGCCGGCGGCTCGAAGCCGCGCTCTCGCGCCCGCAAGCGGATGCCCTCCAGCGCCAGCGAGGCGTGGAAGAGCAGCGAGACGGCCGCAACGCGAGCGATGCACACATGTGTGTGAGCCGGTGGGCGGCCAAGAAAGAATTCTTGTGCGGCGCGCGTGCCGGCACTAACACGGGAACACCAAAAAGAAAGAAATGCGCACATGAAAAGCGATCCCACGACAGCGTCGGTGGGGAAGACATGAAGGGTAGAGGGCCGTCCGCAACAGTGGGCTAACCTCGGAATGTGGAAGCAGTATGGCTGAGCCACACATTCCCTGTGCTCGCTCCCACACAGCCATCTTACCTAAGGATGGCTGAGCTCGCTGCAGTGCAGCCATAGCCTTCAGCCCGATGGCGTCAATACACAAAGGGCAGCCATCCTTGGTAGACGGTTGAGGAGCTTCAATGCGATTCTGATCCACGCTTTGGAACACTGAGCGAGGGCGACTCGAGACGCGCCCTGGCCGGACTGATGGACTCAATACGCGTAAGGACCGTGTTCTTGTCCTTGCCCTTGGGGGGGCCGACATGGTAACCGTGCAGCTTGGCCTGCTCTCTCCAGCATCGCTCGACCTCCGGAAACTTGAGCTCGGCGTGGATGACTCGCGGCTTGATGGTCGTAAAGAGCGTCTGCGCGCCCGCCAGCACGGAGCACTCGAAGCCCTCGACGTCCACTTTGACGACCGAGATGTGCGGCATCTGCCACTGGGCGAGCATCTCGTCCACGGTCGTGAGGGATGTCTCCTCGCAGTTGACCCCTCCACTGGCGGCACACGACGCCGTCGGCCCAACGCCATCGTCTCGGATGTAGTTGCTGCTGCCCCGCAAGATGCAGGCCACGTCCGCCCGTGATTCGCAGACCCGACCCGTACGCAAAATAGCGGGCATGCAGCACTCGCGTGGCCCGCCGGGGCGATCGGAGCAGCCATGTCCGCCGCACAGCCCGCACGTGGCGTTGCAGCAGGAGCATAAAGCAAAAGATCTGTACGGCAGAGCATGGGACTTAGAGTCAACAACGAATCGAAACGGGTCGCGACGAAGGGCTTTGCACCTCCATGATGCACCAGAGCCGCGTCGCGTAGGAGGGACCGTCGAGGACGAGCAGGTGCGTGCAGCCAGACACGTAGATGGGCAGCCCAAGAAGAGACGCGTCGATACTGTCCTGGTCGATGCACGCCTTGTCGAGCCTAAATCGGAATCATCACCTCCAATGATCTCCTGCCTAATTCTTGTCGATGCATGCCGTGTCTCTCTAGCCAGAGGAGAGGCTCGCGGCCCATCTGCCGCTCAAACTCTGCGGCCCAACAAGAGAGCGCCGCGTACTTGGCCTCCCCGTCGTCCGACCACGAGTGGCTGAGCGATGGGAGTCGGGTGAGAGGCGGTCGCCGGGCAGGGACGGCAGCGGGCGGCGCGCCTGATAAACGCGTCGACGCCACCAAGCTCTGCGGGTACCGTAGAAGTGCTCAGCTCGACTGTCCCAACAGATGAGGTGAAGTGGTGAGGCTCCAGAGCAGACCACGGGAGGCCGCGAAAGCGACAAGCCGCCGCGATCACGTTCGACTCCACCACGCCCCAGCCGGTCTGACACAGCAGCCGCCAGCGCCACACGCTTGAGTACGTGGACGCGGGTGCGACGAGCGCGGCGATCGCGGCGAGCCTACCGCAAAGCGTCCGAGGTGGAGGGGGGGGAGCGCGATAAGAGGGTTACCAATTCACATGCTGCCCTCGCGAGCTTGCTGGCTGGCCAAAGCCTCCGACAAACCGAAAGAGGCGACCGCGAGTGGTGGAGGAGAGGGCGCGGGCGAGCAAGTCGGCGCCGGCGACTCGGATAAGCTCGCGGGCGTGCATCACCGACAACATGAAATAGGGGTTGAGGTCGTGAGGGATGGCGCCTACAAGGGAGCCGCCTCACGCTCGGAATGCTTTCAGCACCGGGCGTGGGCGCTGTGGCTTAGAAGCGCCGCTGTCGACCCAGAGGATAGCGAGGTCGAATGCAATGTAGCCGAGGGTGACGCGACTCGCCCACCGGAGGAGTGTGCCAAGAGTGTGCCACGCCAACTTGATAGCGTAGCGCGGAGGCAGGTAAAGCCCCGCGCGCGCAAAGTGGTACCCTGCCCAGAGCGTAAGCAGGCTCCCAAGCGGCACCCAAGCAAACGCGAAGAGCGCACGCAGCGGCTGCGACGGCAGGCCCTGGTGACGGCCTAGCCTGTACAAAGGGAGGAGCACAAAGCGCCACTCCACCAAAAGGTTCGCAATCGACAAGCCAAGCACGACAGCACCGATGAGGCAGCTCAGCCGTACCAGCATGGTGTCGATGGGTCGCAGCGCGAGCAGCAGAAAGAATAGACCGGCGGCGCTAAGCAGTGAGGGGAGCGGCCGTGGAGGCATCCACTTGATGCCGACCGGCCCAATAAAGTTCGCGAGGAGCGGCCGCAACGTGGCCCACTGTAGGCAGAAAGGTGAGGACCCAAAGGGAAGCACCTCGCAGTGCGTCAGGGTGCTGGCGATCAGGCCAGGGTCGACGTCGAACACATGAGATTCAAATATCTTGATGCTCTCATCGTGGTGGTGACTATAAAGTCCTTCAACTCTGAAGTCAACCCGTAATACGTTCCCCAAACTGTCCTTTCCCAGAACAAAGCGGTTGTAGACAATCACCTCGGTGGACCGGTGGGGACCGGAATATGCCTGTATCCAGTTGTTGGAGCGCGGTATGCGGTGGACACCATAACCTCCGTAAAACATACTCTTGGGTAAGTGGGAGGCAGAATATACCTCGTCGCTGAGACCTCCAATGACGTGGCCGAATCCGGGAGGAGTTTTGACATTATGGGCGTCCCATGCATCGAAGGGGAGCAGCATCATAGAACTGGCCCGTCCCATGTAGACGTAACAATCCTCAAACACGTAGGCGATAGGCTTGCTCGACGCACGGAGGGTGCATTCCAAAACTGAGTGCGAGGGGCACACAATCGCAAGACAGCTCGTATTGCCTTTGCACGCCGCCTTTGCCTCCTCCAGAGGCAGAGCTTTCGGCATCTTCCCTCCATTAGTGACATACGTCTGACACGATTTGCCGCGGTAGACCGTCCACTCCAAAAGCGGAGGCGGCGGCTTGGGATGGGAAAGGCTAGGGATGGGAAAGTTGGGAGGGAAATGCTGAGGCGGCTTGGCATGCGGAGGGAAGGGAGGAGGCAGAGGCGGGGGCGGAGGCGGCAAGCCGCCTGGTGGAAACGGCGGCACGGCGGGTCGGTCGGCGCAGAGCGTCGAAGCGTATCATGCGTTTGGAAACAGCACCTCCTGTACTCTGCCCTTGCTCACTTGAGGTACGGAACAACACGTTCGCGCTCGACCTTCTACTTCCTCGTGACCCACCCGCCGCCACCCTCGCCTCGCCCTCCCGCCGCCTAGCCGCTCGCTCGCCATTTGCTCGCCCGCTCGCGCCAGACCTTCTACTTCCTCGTGATCCACCCGCCGCCACGACCCTCGCCTCACCCTCCCGCCACCAGGCGGCGGAGGCACGCTCTCGCTGATCTGCCTCGCCACCAGGGAGCGACGGCTCGTGCCACCGCGGCGGCTGGCCGCCTTCGCGGGCTTGGCGCAGTCGAGCACGTCGAGCTACTTGGCGGTCCCGCTCGGCCGCTTCATGCTCCGGGCGCTGCACGACGACCTGGCGACGCGCCGAGGCTGGCGCTCGCGGGACGGCGTGCGATTGGGTCGGCAGTCTCTGGCCGATCTAGGCTGGTGGGCGGAGCCGCGCGGCTCGAAGCACGTCGGCCGAGCCATCTGGCGGCCGGCGGAGACTCGGCTGCTCGGCCTGAGTCTGCTTAAAGTCCCACTCACTTGGGTCGTATGGCTGCTCCTGGAGCTCGTCGCGGGCCTGAAGGACGGTACTACTCAGGCAAAGGCAAGCCCACGCAAGGCTGTAGCCGATGGCGGCGGTGCGCAGCCTAACCGCGCGGTCGACGAAAAGCGCCTCCCTGAGTCGGTATTGCAGCTCCTTGAGCTGCGTGGCCGATAGCTCGGTGGGTGGGTGCTGCCGCGTGAACCATAGCCATGATTGCAGCCAGCAGATGGCGACGAGTGACCCGGCGAGCGGCAGGAGTGCGACGGTCACGGTGAGCAGTCCGAGCTCGGAGACCATGTCGCCCGGCCATTGGATGCGGTCGATGAAGAAGGACATGCGCGCAGCGCAGCTCCCGCCCGAACTTTCCGGGGCAATCGACGGCTGGTGGCTGCCAGGATCGCAACAGCTGAGAACCAGGAGACGAGTCTCAATTCTCTGCGGAGTCCGCGCGGGGATATCGAGTGCGACGTGCGGCCGTCCCGGGCTCACCAAGTTAGGCTGCTTAATTAAAATGAATTTTGCCCGTGTTTTCGCGGGAAAATTTCTTAAAGAAAGAAAGAAAACGGACAACCCAAGGGAGGGATGGGATTCTTATTTTCTAGGGAGGTAGGTTGTAAATTCTTATTTTGCACAACACTGGGCACGGGACTGGCGCGCACTGGCAGTGTTGTGCGAGGGAGTTTCCTTGGAAAATTCTTATTTTGCCACTTGGCGACAGCAGCGGCCGCTGCCGCGGCGCTCGCGTTCCACAAATGCACTCCACCTCCTTCGGCGTCTCGGACAAGCTTCAATCGGAGCTGCAGCGGGCCTGCGGCGGTGCTGCCGTCGGCGGGCTGCAGATCCACATCCGCAACGAGACCTTTGAGCTCGGCGAGACGCTGCCCACGGTGTCGGTGCCCGCGCTGCTCAAGGCTGCGATCACGCCGCTGCTGGACGAGCGGGCGCCGTGCTACCTGCTGCTCTCGCTGCAGAGCGAGTGGGCGCTCGCCAGTTGGGTGCCCGACGCCGCCGGCGTGCGCGACAAGATGCTCTACTCTTCCGGCCGCGAGGCGCTCCGCAAGGCGTTTGCGTCGCTCGGCTCTCTGTCGTACGAGGCGCACTGGGCGGGGAAGGGCGAGGCGGACGTGGAGGCGCTCTTCGCGGCGCCGACCGAGGAGAAGGCCACCCTCGCGCTGATGACAGGCACCGAGAGGATGGCGCTCGAGGACGCCAAAGCAACCGCCGTCGAAGCCGCCTCCGGCAAGGTGGCTAGCCCACCCGCCCTCCCCTGAGACTTCGGCCAGACCACCCTCCCCTCAGACTTCGGCCAGACCACCCACCCACCTCCCCTGAGACTTCGGCCAGACCACCCTCCCCTCAGACTTCGGCCAGACCACCCACCCACCTCCCCTGAGACTTCGGCTAGCCCACCCACCCTCCCCTCGGCAGGTTTCCTCTGCGTCCCTCGCCTTCCCGCTCACCGCCGCCGCCGCCACCGCGCTGACGGCGTTCGAGAGCGGCGGCCGCGACCTTCTCCTGCTGCACGTCGACGGCGAGAGAGAAGAAGCCGACCTCGCGAGACCCGAAAAAAAGAAATCGTGGAGGTCAGTCGAGTGCGGTGGGTAGGTGAGACCATCGGGCTGCTCGACTCGCCCTCGCTGCCGCCCCTGGCCTCGGGCAGCCCAGTACCGCACCACCCACGGAGCCGAACCCACACCGGGTTCGGTACTCTGGAGGTATGGTACTAGGCGCCCCGCTCTCGTCGGTGCTTCCCTCCGCCGAGCCGTGCTACGCGCTGCTGCGGCACAGCAGCGAGGGCGGTCTAGCCGAGAGGCAGCCGAGAGGCAGCCGAGAGGCAGCCGAGAGGCAGCCGAGAGGCAGCCGAGAGGCAGCCGAGAGGCAGCCGAGAGGCAGCCGAGAGGCAGCCGAGAGCCGAGAGACAGCCGAGAGACGGCCGAGAGGCAGCCGAGAGACAGCCGAGAGGCAGCCGAGAGACAGCCGAGAGACAGCCGACAGACAGCCGACAGACAGCCGAGAGACAGCCGACAGACAGCCGACAGACAGCCGAGAGACAGCCGACAGACAGCCGACAGACAGCCGAGAGACAGCCGAGAGCCGAGAGACAGAGAGGTCGAGAGATCCCCCAGAGACAGCCGAGATATGGCCGCGGTACGCGCTGCTGCGAGCGACGGGCTGAGCAGCGAGCTGCCGAGCTCAGGCGCGCCGCTGCTCTTCCTGTACTCGTGCCCTGAGGGCGCGGCGGTGCGCGCGAAGATGCTGCATGCGTCGTGCAAAGGCGCCGTGCTCGCCTGAGGCCGCCGACACCGAGAGGGCGCGGCCAGTGCGCGAGATTGCGCGAGGTAGCCCGAGAGTAGGCGCGGTGCTCGCCTCGCTGTCGGGCCGAGGGCTCGAGGTGTCGAAGTCGCTCGAGGGTGAGCAAGAATAATAATAATAATAATAATAATAATAATAATAATAATAATTATTATTATAATGATAATGATGATAATAACTATAATAGGCGAGCCCTCCGACCTGACCCACGAGCTGTGAACAGCGTCTCTTCACACCTCTAGCTGTGAACAGGCGAGCCCTCCGACCTGACCCACGAGCTGTGAACAGCGTCTCTTCACACCTCTAGCTGTGAACAGGCGAGCCCTCCGACCTGACCCACGAGCTGCTCTCCTCCGAGCTGAGCGCACCGGTGAGCGGCGCGGCGGGCGGCGCCGAGGCGCCCGCCGTCAGAAAGGCGGCGCCGCGCGGCGGGCGGAAGCTGACCAGCCGGCGCGGCTGAAGGGGGGGGGGGGGGGGGCTACATCCGGCCCGCACTTGGGGGGCTAACCTGGTAGAGTGATTGATTTGTGGTTTCCTTTCCTCTTCGGTGTCCGAGAGATCCTTCCGAGTCGCGCGTGGCTGAGATCGCTCTCTTTCAGTCTTTGCGTGTTTTTGGCCCCGAGCGTGCGCGGTCGTGCGGGACGTGGCAAGTGCGGCGACCGGCGTCGCCAATCCGCTGCGATGACGCGCACGATTAGGATTACCGCAACAAATACTATTGAAACAAACTACAAGCGGTTCGATCGTCCTCCGTCTGCGTCGGTAGCGTCGCGCACTTGAGTCCCAACCGGGGGCCGCACTGGCGTGTTCTGCGCGCCCAGGACCGGGGACTAAGAAGCGCACCCAGCGGGGGGACACTGCTTGGAGCACTTGGAGTGCAGTCATCAACCTCACATCCAGGGCCGGGGAGCTGAGGAGCGCACCCAGCGGGCCGGATGATCGGCATCGGGTTACGGGCAAGAAAGCCCTAGCCCCGGGGGTGCGCGTTCGCAGGGCAAGGGCCGTAAAGTAAACACGGGTCTCCGAGGGTTGGTCTGCGCTTTGGGTGTCGCCTAGCTGCGGAGCGCCCCCTCTACTCGGAGCTATATAATGGACACCAGACACGCACACGACGTACATCCCTACTCGACGTCACCTCTCAGGCCTCTGGGGCTCTCCTATCTTCCCGGTCCTCCCCCCGGCTCGCTTTCCGCTGGTCGGGCAGCAGCTGCGGAGCCCGCCTTCCCCTCTTATAGCGCACCCCCCAGGGCTAGGGCTCTCTTGCCCGCAACCCGATAACGCGCACCCCCCCCTTACTTAGCTCTTAGGGGTCAGGGCTCTCTAGCCCGTAGCCCGATCCCAATCATCCGGCCCGCTGGGTGCGCTTCTTAGCTCCCCGGCCCTGGATGTGCGGTTACTGACTGCACTCCAAGTGCTCCAAGTGCTCCACTGCGAAAGACACACTCTCCCCCTATCCCGTCGCTTGTGGTCCCCCTTCGCCCTTGGCCCGTGGCGCGCCTCTCCCCCAGCTATCGGTATCGCGTACTGCACGACAGCACGAGGCTACCGTGGGCCCCGCCTGCGCGCTGGGGGTTCCCTGCCCTGTCGGGAAGCCTAGCTCTTAACCTGGGGTCGCTACCTAATGCGGGGCTCCTGGACGGGCGATGAAGTTCGCCTTGAATCTCTCGTCTCGCTTTCCCCCCGACTCGCGTCCGTCAGGGGTACTCCCTAATTCTGGCTCTCTGATCCCCCCCCCCCCTCCTTCCCTCTCCGGGAAGAGATGCGCACTGCGCTATCCCTAGAGGGGGGTCGGGCGGTGTGGGCACTAATCCGGTGTTGGTGTTTGGTGGCGCTATGCACGGTCACCCCCGGACGATCGATGGAGTGGGCCGAAGGACAGAGGCGTGCTTGTGTGGGGCGGGCGCGCGGGCGGCGCCCACTCAGGCTCAGCCTCCGTTGTCTCAGCCTTCAGTTCACCTCTCCTAGCGCCCGGTTTGGTGTGGTGACCTTCATTTCGGGGTCGAAGGTGCTACACACACTTGCCCCCTGGGCTTCGAGCGAGAATGGATCAAGCTACGACGGCGACGTGTGCTCTGCGACAGTTCCCGTGGCCGCACCATGCTCACCGCGTTACCCGGCAGCAGCCCCTCTGATCGTCAGGCCGATTCCAGGGCCGTCGAACGTACGCGGCGACGCCGCGACGGCCAAACGACGCCTCTCAAAGCCCTTCGAGATGCATCAGCCAAGCAAGTCGCGCAGCCGCTGTCCTTGCCCCTGGACAGCTGCGTTCTCTGGGTGCGCCTGCAGCGCCGCTGTCGCCGCCTCGGGCGCGCGTGCAGTCACAGCACGCTGCCTCCGCGCCCGCGCCGAAGCGTCGGTGCCGAAGCACAAGTTGCCCAGCGCCCCGCATTTTGGCACTGGTGCTGCGGCCCGTCCTGCACCTCGCCAGGCAGACGGGGCACTCCAGCGTCCACCCGTGGCCAGGCGCTGCCCATATTGGCGCTACCGCTAAGAAAAAAGAAATCCTCGTGGCTAGAGCAAGCGCGCCCCACGCCTGCCCGTCAACCGGGTGGGGCTTGCACTTCGTGAACTGACTGAGCGACCCAACGAGATTTTATGAAGAATTGAAGTGATGGCGCAAAAGGGGCAGCCAGCCCGACTCCTGGTCCTGCACCCGACTCCGGCGACCACCGTGCACCGAACACACTACACACCTACTCGCAACTCGATACGGCGCGGCGAACACACTACACACCTACTCGCAACTCGATACGGCGCGGGTGTGCTCGCTCTGAACGCTCAGTAGCCGTCGGACGAGTGGGTGACCGAGTGGCTCGGCAGCGCCTGCGCGACCAGCTCGGCGACTGCAGCGTGGTCCCGCATGCCGCGGCCAGGCGGCCCTCCCTCCGCTCCTCCGAAGCCGACCGAGTAGCCGTAGATGTGCACGCTCGCCTGCAGGGAGGCTCGGGCAAGGCTCCACGGAGGGGCGCACGGGCAAGCGAGCCGCTAGCTGTGCGGCTTCGCCCCGCCAGGCCCGCCGTCGCTCCGCACGATCCGGCCGCCGCCGAGGGGCTCGCAGCGGTAGCCGAGCGCCTCGAAGCGGTCGATGGCCGCCTGAGGGGAAGGGTCCGAGAGCGGGGTCTGAGCGGGGTCCGAGCGGCGCCTCCGCACGGTCGACTAGCCGCCGGCCTCGGCCACGTCGGCGTGGTACGAGCCGCGCCCCGACCGCACTGCGAGGAAGGGCGCGCCGCCGGAGCCTCGCGGGGGAGAGACGCGCAGGCAGGCGTACTTGAAGCGGCCGACGGCGATCTCCACCCGCGAGGAGAGGGCCGCCGCCTCGCCCGCGCCCGCGCCCTCGGCCGGCGCACCCTCGCCCCGCTGCAGCAGGCGGGCCGCCTTTGCTCCATCCGCCTCCGACGTGAAGCGCAGCTCCCCCTGCGGAGCGTGCGAGCCGACGCGTGTCAGCAGAGGTGGAGCCGAGAGTCGACCAATCGCGCCTCGACTGAAGGCTCACAGAAGGCTCCGCTAGAGGGTTCCGCGCTGGAAGGTTCCTAGAAGGTTCTCTCGCCTGCGGAGAGACGACGGCGTCGAGGCGCTCGTCCAGCTCGCCCATCGGCACCGCCTCCACGATCTGCTCGTTCAGGGCGAGCCCAATCACCTGCGGCCGCCCTCCGCCCTGCAGCCGCCGCTGCCGCGAGATGAAGGCGTCGTAGTAGCCTCGCCCGTGCCCGAGCCGACCGCAGCGCGCGTCGAAGGCGACGCCGGGCACGAGGAGGAGCGAGAGGTCCTCGCTCTCGGTCAGGTCCTCCATCGAGGCGGCCGCGGCCTCGTCCGGCTCGGGGATCCCCCACTTGGTGCGCGGCAGCGCCTTTGCCGCCTCCAAGTCGCCACTCAGGCCGAGCATCTTCATGTCGGTCGGCGAGCAACCGCAAACGCGCGGCACGGCGACGCGAACGCCGCGCGCCAGCAGGTCGGCGACGATGGGCCACGTGTCCACCTCGTTGCACGCCCCCTCCATCGGAAGGTATATCGAGGCTGCGCCGGTGCAGGATGCAAAGGCGGGCACCGAGCGCAGCTGCTCGAGCACGGCGGCGGACTGAGAGGCGCGCTGCGCCGGCGTGATGGACGACAGCGCGGCGGCCACGCTCGCGCGGAGGCTTGGCTTGCTCATCGCGCGGATCCTTGAGGAAGGGCGGACCCGGCCCTCCGCGCGTCAAGGGGCGGGCCGGCCTAGATCGGAGTTTTGCGCTTTCAAGAGGTGTGAACGTGAACAGAGTCATACCAACACCGTGGCTCGTTACGGCACGCATGGGGGGCCTCCCGGACGTATGACCCTAGTCCAATAAGTCCCACAGAGCACATTTCGATTTTTGACAGAATTAAATGCACTGCCCCTCGGCAACGTACTAACTATCGTAGTTTTGTGCAGGGTGCCCACGGTAGGGTGCCCACAGGACCCAAAAAAAGAAAGTAAAAAAGAAATGGGACACCCCCGATCGCAGCACTTCGTGTTGGAGAGTCGAGACATTGAGAGTGTGACTAGGAGGGTGGGACGCTGGGGATTCTCAAAGGTATGTATGTATCTAAGGAAGGGAGTCAACTTTGATGGGGGCAGCCAATTTGGTCGACCGCAAATCGTGGAGCTGGGAGTCACGCTCGGGCAGACAGCGTCGATGCCGTCGCCGGACGCGGCGGCGAGGCACACGGGCGCCGGCGTGGCGCGTCGGCAGGCCCACCACGAGCGGATGCGCGACGAGCGCGCTCGGGAGGCGGCCGCGGGCAACGCGGAGCTTCCGCCGGAGGACGACGCGGTCGAGATGGTGAGCGCCGCCCAGCTGCTGGACAGCGTGGCGGAGGCGGGCCCGAACTACACCCTGCTGCGCTGCAAGGAGACGAAGGCGAAGCGGCGGAAGCGACAGCGCGAGGATGGCAGGGCGGCGCTCAACGGCCACACTGTCCTGCCCACCGGATCGCGCCTCGAGATCTTCTGCGACACCGAGCGGTGGTACCCCGCGACCGTCATGGGCCGGGAGGAGGACGGGGACGGACGGATCGCGCACCAGGTCGAGTACGACGGCTACCCGGATCGGCGGTGGTGGCACATGCTGGACGACGAGCGGTGGCGAGCCGTCCCAGAGCAGGCCGGCACGGGCGCAGGAGGCGCCGCCGCAGACGTGGACGGGGATGCGGCGATGGACCGCGCGGACGGCGAGGGCGCCCGTGCCGCGGGTGCCGCCGAGGCGGCCGAGGCGCGGCCGGCGCCGCCTCCCGCGTGCCGGGGTGTGCGGCGCAGCGCGCTGGCGGACGTCCTCGAGGCGGAGGACGACGAGCGGCAGGACGAGGCTGCGCGTGGCGACGAGCAGCCGATGCTAGCGCCCCACGGGCCGGCGCTGTCAGTGCAGCTTCGGCGCGTGCGCCTGCAGCTGCGCGAGTTCCTTGCAACGCAGGCCGCGGCAGGGAAGAGCGTGCCGATGCAGCGGACGGCCCTCGGTCTGCACCCGACGATGCGGTGGACGATCCGCTTCGGCAAGTGGCTGGCGACGACGCGAGTCAGAGCATTGAGGGCGAGCCGGTGGCACGCGACCGAGCGGGGCGACGCGCGGGAGGAGGAGCCGACGGTGCGCACGGGTCGCGGCGAGAGCACGGTCTACGTCGCGCTGCAGCACATGAAGAACCACGTGTGGCGCGAGATCTGGCCGGCGATGCCGAGCGACGCGAGGCAGTACTGGCGGCTGGTGACCAACCAGGTGATGTCGCTGTTCGACGGCGGCGGCGGCGGGATGAAGGACGCGGCAGGAGCCGCCGGCCGGGCGGCGGGCCGCGAGGCGGCGCGGGAGAGCGCGTCGCACGGGCAGAGCGAGGCGGCGCAGCGGGCGGCGAGCGAGAGGGCGAGCGCCGAGGCGAGCCGGCGGACGATGGCCGAGCTGCGCGAGGCGACGACGAAGCCGTGCACGAGGCAGCACCTCTTCCAGGTGGGAGAGTACCAGATGCAAGACACGCAGCTGCTAGAGCCGTTCGAGGTGAACGTGGCCTTCATCATGAACGCCTACTTGTGCTTCGCGCGGCAGACCGGGTGCCGGCCGGGGATGGCGGTGAACGATGCGGCGGACGCGGCCGATTCGGACAGCCACTGGCGCGCGTCTCCCGCTGAGAGAGAGAGGGAGAGGCGAGTAGGACGGCGCGGCGTTGGCGCGTGATGGGGCGAGATGCCACTGAGCCGTGCCGCTCGCCGGCAGGCACGAGCTGCCGCCGCTGACGATGGGCGACCTGTCCATCGCCGCGGATGTGCTGCTGCGGGGACTAGACGGGGCGGGCGTGATGACCGAGGGCGACTTCGAGGCCCTCCTCCGAATGGAGGTGACCTTCGCGCGCAAGAAGGGCGAGTACTACGCGTGCTACGAGTTCGGGACGGCGATCACGCCCGACTCGGACCAGATGATGCGCATCGGGACGCTGGCGATGGTGCGCCTGCTGCTGCGCTGCGGAAGCTTCAGGGCGTGCTACTCGAAGCTGAGCGAGGCGAGCGCGGCGGCGCTGCGTCGCAAGGTGGCTGAGCCGAGCGGGTTCGCCGGGCTCGAGCTGGAGGACACGGGCTACGAGACGCTGGCGGCGCTAGTTGCGGCGTGCCGAGCGGACGGCTGGGTGCTCGACAAGGCGGCCCTGGACCGGCCTCTGTTCCCCGGCGTCGACGAGGCGACGGGGTTCTTCTTGTTCACCGAGAGCTTCGACGTGCAGCGACTCTGCCGGCGCCTGATCGAGACGGGGCGCCAGCTGGGCATGGCCCGGCACAAGGTGGGCGCGTGGAGTCTGCGCAAAGATGCGTGCGAGCAGCCGGCGTCGGCGGGCCACGGCGCCGTCGCGGCGCGAGTGCTGGGCCACCGCCAGGTCAACTCCCGGACGATGGATCGGGTCTATCGCGCAGACCTGCGCACGCGCGATCTCGGCGCATACTGGATGCGGCGCGACGCGCTCGGGAGCGTGGAGCGCGCGCCGCTGACGTCGCTCTCGGCGTCGCGTGTGCCGGCCAGCGCGCGGCGGGCCAGGGCGATGCATGATGATGACCGAGAGCGTGGTGCAGCGCCACGCCAGGCGCCAGCGTCCCCGCGCCTCTTCACACTCTGTTTTACATCTGGCCGACGCGCCGATGCTAGGTAGGATGCTAGGTAGGGCGATGCGCGGTGATGACAGAGAGCCCTGGCTGGCGAGGTACTTCCAGCCTGCTGTGGGAACAGCTGAGCAGTCAGTCTCGCCGAGGGAGCCGCACCGTACGCTCCGGCGTGTACTCATTCCACCCTTCTTTCCGACGATGCGCTGCGCGGTCAGCAGGCTCTCAATCCCGTGGGCGACGCTCCTCTACCTCCTCCTGCACGTCCTCGCCTTCCTGCCCTCCGAGTCGGACCGCGCGGCGATGCTCGAGGACGGCTGGGGCTGGCTCGCGGTGCTGCAGACCGTCTACGATAAGCGCGCCGCGCCAGACGCGCTGCAGCGTTTCGCGTGGCTGCTCCTCTCGCCGCTCTTCCTCGCGGTCGAGTGGCTGGGCACGTCGCGGCTGCTCTTCACGTGCAACGTCCTCTGCGCCCTCCTCACGCTCGATCGGAGGCAAGAGTACTCGCCCGGCCGCGACTCGGTCTTCGACCCCTTTGTTGACGCCTCGTGCAGCGCGGATCGGCTCGAGTGGCGGTGCGGCTACCGGCCGGAGGAGCCGCAATGGCGGTGCTCCGCGCGTGAGATTGCAGCCTTCAAGTGGTGCTGCGGCAGCAACACCTACGTGCCAGTCATCGGCATGCTCGGCGCGGTGCTTGCCAGCCGCGTCGCCGGGCGCGCGCTCCCTCCGGGCTGGGGCCGCGCCGTGCTGCACGCCGCGCTCTCCCTCGGCTGGCTCTGCGTCTCGGTCGGGCTGATGTACTCGCTCGGCGACGCGCACACGACGCACGAGACTCCGTGGCGCGACGTGGGCGGGTGGAGGCCGTGTGCGCTCTCCTTCCTCTCCCCCGCCGCCCACTCGGCGTGGATCTTCCAGGGCTGGCTCGTCGCCTCCCTCTTGCTGTGGCAGGCGGGGACGCGCCCCTCCGGCCGGACCTGGCCCGTCGCCTCGCGGCCGGCGCAGAATGCCGGCGCGGAGCCGCTCCTCGTGAGCGGCGGCCCGGCGGCGGCGGAGCAGAGCCCGGGCAGCTAACAATAGCGAAACGGTCAAACTCTGACGAGAGATGGATAGTGGGCCCCTGGTGTAGGGATCTTCACGAGGTAGGATTTCTAGCTGTTCGTATACTGGTACACATGTACACAATCATTTGTGACATTTCGTCTCTGGATGGCTTCTGGGCGGTATTCCATCTTGCATAGGAAAATCCACAGTGCACCACAAGGCCAACGGGCAGGCGCAGCCGCAGGGGGAAATAAATAAAACGGACGACTCACTGCACAATGGAGATGGGTAAAAAAGGAACAGGTCCCGGCCCGTGCGATCTTTGACTCTGTGCAAGGTTCTTTGCACTTTGTTTGTGGGGGTTGGTCGGCGACTAGCCGGGGTCGTCCTCCCCAGATCATCATCATTTTTTATTGGCGAGATCAATTCACGCCAAAAGAAAGAAAGAAAGAAAACAGACCAACAACGCCGCATTTTGGAACTCGTTCCGGGCGGCGCGCGATCCCCTTTGAGTCACGCTCTCCTTTGAGGCACGCTCTTTGGCCTCCGCCACCATTGTTTTGCCGCCTACATTACGCTATGGCCGCTTGCTGCGTCGCCCTGCCCGTCACGCCTCCGGCTCCCGCTCCGCCGTGCACCTGCCGTCGTATCGCCGAGGGCTTCCTGTGTCCAATAAAGAAGGAGCTGCCGCTTGACCCGGTTATTGCGGAAGACGGCTTTATGTACGAGCGTGGTAGCATCGAGATGTGGCTGCAGCATCGGTCGACGTCACCGATCACCAACCTGCCGATTGGCGAGCGGCTACTTCCGGCGCTGCAGGCTCGCACGCACACAGCTAAAATTCTGCTGCCGTCGCCCTCACGAGCGCCAATGCCCTCGGCGATCGAGTCCCTGTCACTCACTCCGCCTCCTCGCCCCACCAGTGCCGCTCGGCGATCGAGGAGCTTGTGCGGAGCGGCCTCGTTGACGACCTCGCTGACAGCTGGATCGAGCGCATACGACACGAGGCCACGGTCGCCGAGATCCGGCGCCGCGCCGAGGCGGGTGAGGTCGACGCGATGCTCAAGCTCGGCGCCTGGCATCACACGGGCCAGATGGGGCTCCCGATGTCGCACGCGGAGGGCTTCCGCTGGTGCAGGCGGGCCGCCGAACTGGGTTCACTTTATGCCTACGCGAGCGCCGGCTTGTGCCTTGTCGGCGGCAGGGGTGTGGATGCGGACGTGCCGCAGGGGCTGAGCCTCATCTCGGCGGCCGCGGTGGGCGGGCTCGAGTTCGCGTCGAACTGGCTCGGCGAGTGGTTCCTCGCCGGGCAGTATGGTCTGCCCAAGGACCCGAGCAGGGCAGCCTACTGGTTCGCAAAGGTGGTCGACGGGGCGGCTCACTCGCTCGACGGCGCTGCCTGCCCTCGCGTGCGCGGACACCGTGAGCGTGCCGCCGAACGGCTCTCACTACTGAGCGCTATCTGCACTCCCGCTGGCCCCGAGGAGGCGCTGCCGGAGTGCATCAAGGGCGAGGCCGGAGGCACTCACTGGGTTGGGCGAGCCTAGGGCGGGCGCTGTAAGAGCGGCGCTGCTTGCGTGTGTCGCCAACTCGCCAACTTGCGCGCGGACAGAGTAACGCGCACTATGTTTCACTTGCCTGCCATCTATGGCATGGACAGACATCTCATGCGCATGGTGTGCGTACAGGTTGTCACGTGTGTGGCGAATCAATGTGATATACGGCTCTAAGTGTGTGGGGTTAGCACATCCACATGAGGACCACAATCCATATCGGATCGCGAGCGTCAGTGAGTCACGCCCACAGATCGCCCGCGCGCATTATTGTAAATAGCAGCGGCCAATTTGGAGGTCGGGCATCGAAATCAACTAGTTTATGTTTGGATTGCTCTCAACTCTGCGACCTCGGGCGAGACCATAGTTTCTCTCTCATTCTCTCGACCGGCGTCGCGGTCTCTCTCTTGCACACACCACAACTAAGGCGGCTCGCTCACGCCTCTCTCACGACGGGCAAACGGGAGCCCTCTCACCTAGAATTCCAGAGGGCCAGCGCTTCTCCGAGCAACTAGCCGATTACACCCCTCCTCCTCTCGGGCGGCGTCCTCAGGATGCGCGACAGGTCGAGGAAGGCGTACTGGTCAAAGTCGCAGTGCCACTCCTGTCCGGCGCGCAGGTTGAAGAGATCGGCGCGGTTCGAGCACATCTTGCTGTAGAGACAGACCTCGAGGAAGAAGATCGAGTCGGTGGAGTAGCCGTTGTTGCCGCGGCAGTTTTTGTTGCCGCTCCAACCCGAGCAGTGGCCGAGGCGGGGCGAGTTCCGAAAGTCGAGCTGGTTGGGCGCGTGCGCGAAGATGATGCCGCGCCGTCCCTGCCCCGGCAGCCGCCCCTGCGCTGCGCACACCTGCCACTCGAGGTTGCGGCAGATGTTGTAGGGCACCCGCCGCCCGAAGAGCGCGAGCATGTTGATCGATGCCTGCACGCACTTCTCGGCGTGGCCAGACTCGGTCCCGCCCGCGTTGGAGCAGAACCACTCTATCGACTCGTCGAAGCCGAGCAGCGCTGGCGCGGGGTGCGCAAAGTGGGGCGGCTGGTGGGCGACGCCGAGGTCGCCGGAGTTACCCTCGTACCAGTTGTTGTAGCAGTGGGTGCCCGAAACCGTGTCGGCAAAGTAGGTGTCTGCGTGCTGCCACTGCGCGTGGTTGTCCCTCTGCCGCTCAAAGCAGGACCCCCGCAGCCCTTGCGCCGGGTCCCACTTGTGCCACGGCTCGGAGCCCCACATCGCGCGAAATACGAAGGACGCGTCCTTGAGCAGCTCCTCGCACAGCCGGCACCGCTCGCAATCCTGCCCGCGCATCGGCGGCATCGGAGACGGCGGCGGTGGTGGTCTCGGCGGCGGTGGGGCTGGCGGCGGCTGCGGTGGCGCGAGGCAGTGGAGCTGCTCTCCAGATGCTCTGCAAGTTGAGCCGTAATACTCGCATCGGCTATAGACCCGGCCGCCCGCCTGGTCGTCGCGCGCGATGTAGGCGTTGCGACACGCTGCCTCGTTGCCGTTGAGCGACTTGCACCAGCGGCTGCCGCTAGACGCTCCGACTATCTGCTGAAGCGCGCTCTCCTCGGTGCCGTCCAACAGCACCATCCCTCTCGCCCAGTCGCACGGCGGCGGCGAGGGCGGCGGCGGGAAGGGCGGCGGCGGGGAGGGTGGCGGCGGTAGCGGAGGCGGCGGCGACGGCGGCGGCGGCGACGGCGGCGGTGCGATGAAGCCGAGCATGCCGAAGACGGGAGTGATGACTGGCAGGGCGCCTCGTTGGGCAGGCCCGACGGCGAGGGCGGCGAAGGCGAAGAGGAGGAGGACCATCAGCGCATTCCAGGCGAGGCACATTGGTATCATTCGCCGGCAGGTGAGTTTATCCGCGGCCGGGGCCGCGGCCGGGGCCGCGGCCGGGGGCACGTCATCTGCCACATGTCCATGTGCATGTGCATGTTGTGCATGAGGGCGTGCCGGTCTCTGTGCCGAGCCAAGCACGACCATTCGATGCTCAGACGCCGCGTGGGGCTCCTCGCACTCCGCAGGGGGAAGCTCCTCTCCCATCTCTACGTATTTCTCAGCCGTCCGCTTCGACGGCCTCGACGGCCTCCAGGGCCTCGCACTGGCGCCGCGCCCGGCGGCGTGCGGCGAGACGGTCATGCCGGGCGAAGCATCTGCGGGCGACGGCGGGCACTCGGCGCTTTAGTTTACGGCTGGCGTGTGAAGCCGTGCGCGTGTAGGTTTTTGTTTCTTTTTTTGGTGTACCTGTGTTGTGCCAGTGCGCGAGGTCCCGTTGTGAGGGATTAAAATATTTCTTTTCTTTTCTTTTGTGTGCGCCAGTCCACGCCGTCGCAGTGAAAAGGGATTCTTTTCGCCCTCTCTTTCGGCGCGTTGTGTGCACAGGACGCCGTGGGGCTAATACCCTCTGTCCGTCCTCGGATATGCCTCCGGTGGCCCCACTCCTTCGTTTGGGCCACCTCGCCGACGGCACTCCCGCTCTCGGCCAGGCGGAGGTGCTCCTCTCTGGCTTCGGAGTCGAGCGCTTTGGCGGCGGCGCCCTCTACACTGGCTCCTTCCATCGAGGGCGGTGGCACGGCCGCGGAGCTCTCACGAGCAAAGACCCCCGCGGCAACCCCATCACCCACGACGGCATGTGGCGCGACGGCCTGCGGGAGGGGCGCGGCGTCGAGACGCTGTCGCACCAGAGCTCGACCTGCGTCGGCGCCTGGTCAAAGGGGAGCAAGCACGGCGCGTTCCGCTGCCTGGTCAACGGGTCCTGGCGCGCGGAGGGGTGGGACCACGGCGTGAGGACCCGCGCAAGAGCCGTGCCCAGCGACGCGGCCTCTTCGTGGTGGGTGGAGCCCGGCGTCCGCTTTGCCCTCACCTCGCACAAGCATGACCGGTGGCTCTACCGAGGCGACGTCGTGGAGGAGGAGGCGCGGCAGAGCGTCGCGGCGCACGGCTCCGGCTTCTCGCTGTGGGAGGAGGAGGGCCGCTGGTCCTACTATGGCGGCTGGGCAGGCGGAGTGCCGCACGGGCCCGCCCACCTCCTGTTCCCGGACGGGTCGTACTTCGTCGGCAACCTGAGCGGCGGCACGCCCCGCCGCGGCTTCTTCGGGCTACCGAACGGCTCCGCGCTGCACACGGACGGCAGCGACGCGACCTACCTCTCCGACTTGTGCGGCGGCGCGCTGGTGCGGCCCGGCTGGCTGCTCCTCTGGGCGAGGGAGCAGCCGACGGACACGCGGCAGGCGTGCCGTGAGGCGGCTCTCGCTGCCGGCCACGAGGTTAACGCGGCGCTGCTGGAGGCGGCCGCAGCCTCATCGCGCCGCCGGGTGTCTTGGAGCCCGGCACCGGCCGCGGAGGCGTCGCTCTGGCCCACCGCCGCGCTCTCCTCTCTCCTCGCTGGCTTGGCTGCGGTGGCCCTGTGGCGGCGGCGGAGGTGGCGGGGTGCTGACGAGGCGCCGGCGGCACGGTCGGCGCGGCACCGCAAGAGGCAGGACGAGCCGCAGGGATCTACTACTACGGCGGCCACCGCCGCGGCGCAAGGTGCGCGGGGGAGAGGCGCCAAGGCTGCGCACCGCAGAAAAGGTCCGAAGCCGCCGCAGCCGCCGCGAGCCTCGCCACCGCCATCGCCGGCTTCTGAACCGCCAACGCCGACGCCACAGCCGCCGCTATCGCCGCCTTCGCCGCAGCCGCCGCGGCCGGAGCCGGCGACGCCGCCGCCGCAGCAGCAGCAGCAGCAGCAGCAGCCGCAGCAGCAACCGCCACAGGCCGAGGGCTCCCCCTCCCCACCGGCCGAGGCGGCGCCCGTGTCTGCGGCGTGTTGCGGTGGGACGGCTCAGGATGGCCAGCAGCTGCGTCGCCAGCGCCTCGGCCTCGCTGCCGCCCCGCCGCCCGCCGCTCCGCTGCCCGCCGCACCGCTGCCCTCCGCAAGCCCGCTGTCTGCGGGCCCGCTGCGCAGCTGGCTCGCCTCCCTCGAAACCGACGGCAAAGAGGGCGGCGAGGAGGGCGGTGGGCGGTACGGCGGGAGCCATGAACCTTCTCGGAACCTTCCTATAGGCGGCGGGCGGTACGGCCGGTACGCAGCTGCGTTTGCAGCCCACTTTGACAGCTTCGCAGACCTCCTCCTCGGCGAGGAGGACGTCGGCGTCGAGGTGCTCCTGCCTCGCGGAGCGTGTTGCGCCTCGCCTCTTCATGCCGCCTCTTCACGCCACCCCCGCTGTGCACAGGCCATCCTCGATGCCTGCTCCGTCACCGCCATCGGCGACCGCGCGAGGCTGCGCCGCGCTATCGCCTCTCTCCGGCCGGAGGGCAAGCCGCTCCTGCCCATCGGCCCTCCCTCTGCCGCCGCCACGCTGCCGGCCGGCGAACATGCGGCGGGCGGCGGCGGTTCGACGGGCGGCGGCGGCTCAGGTGGCGGGGCGGACGTGTGCGTCGCGCTGCGCGTCGGTGGCATGATGTGCGGAGGCTGCCGCGCCAAGGCGGAGCACGCTCTCGCGGCTGTGCCTGCCGTCTCGCGCGCATCCGTCGACCTTCGCTCTTGCAGGGCGGTGTGCTACGGCGGGAGCACGCTGCAGCCTCAGGCGCTACTGGGCGCGCTCGAGCGGCTTGGCTTGCGCGGGCACGTGCTTGGCGGCGGCGGCGAAGGCGGCGAGGAGGCAGGGGGGGTAGAGGCGAAGGCGGGAGACATTCCCATCCTGTCGCTGATGCGGTCGCTCGGCGAGGCGAAGGAGCACGTCGTCAAGCGGTACAAGTGCGGCTGCGGTTGCGACGGGTGCATCTGCGCGGCGGAGCCAACAGTGGAGGACGACACGGGCTGCGACGTGACGCTGGGCGAGCTGTGCTTGCGGCTGGAGAGCAGCTTGCGGGCTTTTGGCGACCTGAGCAGGGTGGAGGCCAATCCCGAGGAGCTCGCGTTGCTGCGGGTGCCTTGCCCCTGCGATGGGGGCCACGCGGCAGACAGGCCGTGTTGAGTTACATTCCTGTGGAGGAGTGGGAGTCGTTTACTACGACGTGTGCATGGACGTGTGGAGTCGTGTTGTAGACTGTCGTACAAAACGCCGATGTCTCTCTCCCTCGTGGACAAAAAACAAATCGCCCGCGCGCAGCCCCAGCTCAGCAGCATGCGCGCGGCATTGCCATTGGCCATTGCGCTACACGGGTCACGGCGCGTACGGACCCTCTATACAGTGTAGGTGATGCCACACAGACCCACCATGACTGCACCCACCAAGAGCACCATCACATTCCTCTCGCACTCTTTAGTTCTGCCTTTCTCACACACGGTTCTCGGCGGAAGAGATAGTGTATGGTTACTGTCAATCCCTCACAGCCTTACCCCCGCCATCAAAGGGGAGCAACAGCGCATCAGGGGGAGGAGCCGATCACTGGTCGAAGCACGTGCCCCGTGCGTCGCTGAACCTCGAGCGACGCATACGGTCATTGAGCCTCGGACGGCACAGGGCGGGTGGGCGTGCCGCTGAGCGCCAGCCGGGAGGTTGTCCTCTCGACGCCAGGAGGGTGCGTGGAGGGAGATTCGTCAGCTACGGCAACCGGAGGGCTGGACGAGCTCTCTCCAGGCGGCGCATGTGGCGGGACCGGCCGGGCAAGCGCCGGGGCGTCGGTTCTGCTGTCTCGCCGCGACGGGGCGACGCGCATAAGAGCACACAGCAGTTCGGCAGGCGGTGACGTTTGACAAAGAGATGCGCACCCAATGGATAATTATTTGTTTTAGGTATTATTGCTCCTTTTTTCTCTATTTTGGATGCATTCTCAGGAACGCGAGCAGCTCATCAAGGGACGTTCAACTTTGCGCCTCGTTTTATCAAAGTCCAACTCGGCACCACCTTTTGCATCTAGCGTCGGCGACCGACGTGCAAGGGCGAGCCGCTGCTAGCTGCGATGGGGAAGCACCGCTGAGAAATGTAGCCCGTGCTGCAACACTTGCGTCGTTGCCAGAGTGATGCACGAACTCGCTACGCCCTCCCTCTCCTCTCACTTACGTACACAACGCACGCTCAACAACACATGTTTGTCGAAGTCTACGGCCGACCTTTTTCCTGTCAGGCATCCCGACCGTACTTCATCTCTCTCGCCGCTCACTACCGTAGCCATGGACACCGTCGTCAAGGCTGCGACCGGCGTGTACGTCAAGAGCTTCATGGCGGAGTTCCTGCAGGCGCGGCTGGCCGCATCCCTCGCCGCGAACCCGATAGTGACGGCCTGTTTGCCACACTTGCTGTAGATGTGTCCACTCGCCCACGCGCTCTGGTGCCTCACGGGCCGCGCCTTCTCACTCGCCGTAGCGCCTCCCGCGCAGTTCTTCACCATCATCCTCGCCTGGATCACCGGCATCCTCGGCATCGTAACGCTCATCTACGGTCGGCGCCTCTCCCGCCGCTCAGCGTGCCGCCGCGATCCGCTCTCATGAGCACGCGCCGCGCGACCCCGCAGGTATTGGCGCCGAGGTCGTCGCGCTCGGCGCTCCTGCCGCGGCGGTCGTTGCGGGAGGGGCTATGGCCTCCGCGGTGAACGACATTGCATCGAACCCGATCGGCATGCCTCGCGGCTCGTGCTCTCCACCGGCAGGTGTGTCGCCCGGCTCACCTACGCTCGGTGACGGTAGGAATGTCTCCTGACACCCTCGTCGGCACGACGGGGAGCCTGCTCGGCGCCTCGGGCGACTCTGCGGCCACCCAGCTGCAGGCGGACCTCCAGGCCAACGGCGTCGAGCTGCCGACAGACATCGGTGTGGCGCCCTCTCGCCCTCCGCGCCTCTCCTCTGTGCAAATCCCTCCTCACGAGTGCCACTTGTGTACGCTCGGCCGCCAGACCTCCCTCGCACCCCCTCCCCCTTCCCCACACCTCAACCGCCAACGCTTGATGCTCAGTCAACTCCCTCGCCCTTTCGATGATCACTCACAAGACTATCCGTCACCCAGGGAAGATGCCCCACTGGGAGGGCCAGTCTTAATACCGTTTCCCCGCGGGGACC